CGATTCCTGTGATTAGATTGGTCAGTTTGTTTAAATGACTTCGTCGACACAGGTTACACCGTAATTGAAGCCCCGTTAGGATGCCATTAATGCAATATTCAACTCAAAAGTTTGTCCTACTAAAGAAAACTCACTTTGGTTTCAATGTAAATAGCAAGTTTTGTGGTATTTCTACTTTCATCCCATATGCAATAACTGATAATTGATTTTTCCAATTTTTTTTTTGTTTTTCTACAATCAGTTGACCTCCAAGGTATAACTATCTTTGCCTCGAACAAGTCAAACGTTGCTTCTGTAAATGTCACTGTTTCGCCCTCCGCGGCACAGTTGAATTTAGCCGGAATATTTCATGGCTATATCATATTCTACAAAGAGATAGACGAAGTGAATTATCAGAGTCAAAGGGTGATTTCAGCTGAGATGTCTTTTTTGATACCCGGGTTGAAACATTGGACTCTGTACGACATCTACGCCAGACTGGTAACCTTGAACGGAGTTGGCAAAAGAAGCAATGAATTAGTGGTGTGGACAAGACCGGTCGGTATGGATATTAATTATGAGTGTTAATTTGATATCCAATGCCATTTTCTCTATGATCAATTAAGTAAAGCTAAGGCCACTCGGATAATTAAATGAAAATACAACGAGTCTCGTCAGAACTTGTTCATTGTTTTCCATTAATGCGCGTAATATTTCGAGCAAGTCTTCCTCTGTTATAGAGAATTTTGGCGCAGAAGATTTTTTCAATGCGAACAGCGTACATGAGTAGTTAACTGGGTGGTGAAACAATCATATATGCCTAACTTGTCTATGTGAAGATTTAACCGAAGAACATCTTGTGTCCATCAAAGAATCAACTTGACTGAAAGCCCTCTGATAGCATTTAAACTGAATGATGATTAAAGAAACATTACGAAGAAACACTATAACTTCCGGGTGCCTTTCATGCCTCAAAAACTTCTGTGTAAGGGTAATGTAGAACATTACGTCTGCACGGCGTCATAACAAAGGCATTTCTAACCCTCGGTCCCGTGAGCTCCCTCTCTCATAAAACGGCATTTTGTGATATTTTTTGATCACGTCAGCACATTTCTAATGCTGTACCTTGTAAAATCTCTGGGGTAAGGCCGTTCAAGAGATTGCTACATCAAGTTTATAACAAGAGACTAAGCAAGGTTTTCAATTGCATTGCATAAAGGAGTGTCGAGTCCTGCTTTAGATCTATACAAACAAGGGTGGATCGGTGGAAAAACAAAAAAAATCAAGAGAAAATTAAAGGGATCATCGCCTTTGGCACCATCTCTTGACCTACTTATGTTTCATTTTTGTGTTTTTCTTTTCTTTTCGCACAGCTCCTGAAAATGTTACTGTATACAGCATAAATAGAGGCTTACACGTGCATTGGGAGAACATTAATTCTTCAGAAATCCATCAATACCGAGTGCTTGTGACGGCAGTTTATTATACCAACAATAATGCTACATGTAATGAAACAGTCGTGAGTGGTTTGGATCACTCATTGGTGTGTGAGAATGTGAACAGTTTTATTAACTACAGTGTCGCTGTGCGCGCGGAGGGCAACATAGTGGGTGCTTATTCAGAACCCGTTTACTTTATGATTGAAGCAGAAGGTAAGTCTAATGCCTTAACGCAGTACTGCCTTATTCTTGCTTGTAGTGTTTTGATGAATAAAAAAATCTCAAGTTAAGGTATTGGTTTATCTCCAATCCTGCAGTGTCCGTCGTTTCTGTTCTTATAGCTTTATTGTACGGCCAAACGTTTGCTATTTCCTTCTTCTTGCAGCGCCAGAAAATATATCCGCCCGAGCTATCAGTTCCGTTGAAGTCCATGTCAGTTGGGCTCCTGTACCTGTACCGCATCTCACTGGTTATATGGTACAACACAGGAAGGTCGACAGCAATATCACTTCGCAGAATGTGACCGTTTATGACGCCAGTCGCTCCTCTGTTGTATTACAGGGTCTACTTCCTGCCTCAAATTACAGTATTCTAGTTCTTTTGGTCTTTGTGGATCGTCTGAAGAATCTAAGCAATGAGGTCTTTGTAGCAACAAAAGGTAAATGATTCATAGGTTCACAACTAAAATGTGTCTGGTTTGTTCCCATGATTAGAAGAACTGGTGTGTCTCCACTCAAATGAAAGTTAATGAGCTTTTTCTTAGTGTGATGATGTGACGAAGAAATTATGACCAGTGGTACGTTAACCAGTAATAATCACTTTGAATTATTTAAGAATTATTTAAGGGATTCGAAAATCGTAATGCAATTGGTATTTTTTTAAAAGAAAACGCCAACATTGTAAGATTTAAAAAACAAACAAACAAACAAAGGAAGGAAGACAAACCGAAATAAAAAGAAATGTGAAACCTAAATTTTTTTTGTATTAACCACAATAATGTGTGAATTTTGACATAATAACTTGATATCTGCTGCAGATATTGCAGTTATCGTGTAGAGTTCAAAGTCGACCTAGTTTCAAGGCCCTCTTTCGTGCAGTATTCTTAAACTTTAGCCAACTCAGAGAGAAAATGTGTAATAAAACGGTCACTTAATTTGGTTTCGCATGATATCATGAATTATAGAGCCTCGTATCTTTCTTATCTGCCTCGGCCTTCGGTTTCGGCAGATTAGTCAGACCTCGGTTTGATAATACATCATATCATGCTAAGTATAATTGCAAATAATTGCTTAGTATTTCATAATTTCACGTTTTGAAATCATGACTAGAATAATATTCTATCTATTCTTAGAACCATTAACAGTCTACCCGGCTGGATTCCAAGCCACTGGAACTAGTCCTACAAGTATTTTCCTGCAGTGGAATGCGACAGAATTTAGGGACCTGGTAGGATATGTATTTTATTACAACCTCAGTGATATCAACAGCACTTGGATCCAAAACAGAGTGAAAACTTATATTGGGGCATGTAACACCTCACTGGAAATATTCAACCTCAAGCCTTTGACAAATTACAGTTTGCAGATCGCAGGTTTTACCAGGCACGAAATTGGACCAGTGAGTCCGCTAATCACTGTGCAGACTCAAAGACAACGTAAGTTTCCTTAGTTTTTACAGCTTCTTAGTTTGTCCGGGTGTATTCTATTTTTCCCTGTAGGTTTATTTTTTGTTTGTTTTCACTAAGATGATCAGAGCCTCCTCTATATTGGATGGCTCTAAGAGATTAATTCCCTTGCGGTGATTTTCAATCAATGTTTCAAGATCTTATGGTGTTGATTTCTAGTAAAATCTAAACGAATATAACTGGTTAATGAAATTCTATTGGGTTATTACCAGTAAATGGGATTCTTTTGTGTTGCCTAACTACAAATAACTGGTGGATGCTATATATACGCCTTTGTGAAAAACCTTTAGCAGAAAAGAGACTCAGGACGAAATATTGTCTCTGTTACATCGGACACTTTGCTAAGTTTATGATAAAGCTCATGTAGCATTAACAAGTAAGCACAAGAGCCTCTTCTTTAGTTTCTCTCTTCCCTTCTTTTTTCTTTTTCTTTTTTTTTTTTTTTTTTTTTGCTCCTTTTACTTGCATTTTCTGTCTGTTATTGTGTTTGCTTGTTTGTTTATCCCCAATCTTTCATTTCCTTTATGTTTTGTCATTTACGCAACATCTACCGTTGGACCGTGGTTATGAAGTTCGTGGTTGTCAGACATGGTCATCGTTGCCACAGATTCTCGTAATTTACAAAAATTTGCTTTTTTGCTCTACCGGCAGCACTGAAAGAACCCCCTCCATCGATTGAATTGTCTCCTTGGAGCTTGTCTGCCATTCAAGTCTCCTGGTCACCACTCTCTTTTGAATTGCTGCGTGGTTATGTGATATTTTATAAGCCAATGGAATCGCCTGGTCGTCGGAAAAGGAGCGCCCCCCCTTTAGCCGAATTGAATGAAACTATTAAGTCGTTAAATACTTCGAGAAGATTTCTTACCGGGTTGAATGAGTTCACCAACTATTCTGTTCAAGCTGCCGGGTTTACGGATTTTGAAGTTGGACCAAGGACTATCACGGTGTACATCATCACAAACCAGACTGGTGAGCGTATGCAATGAAGTATGCAATGAATTCCCTTAAGGAAGGTTGTGTTCAGGCTTCGGGTCGTTTGCTTTCAGTCAAGAACGCGGTCAGGGTTCCTCGGGTTAGGCTGCTATCTTGGGGGAAGTATGCTTCAGAAACCATGTTAGTTTTATTTCAGCCATAAAACGGTTATTTAACAATTTTCTAGATTCTATGTGGATTCTATGGATGACGTCAAAATCCGGTAAGAACAAAAAAAAAATTGGCACACGAAGCGCCGCCGAGTGTGTCTCTTGCAGACAGTGTGGCCGAGTCAGTTGGGATGCTAGACTTGAATGCGGTGGTCCCGGTTTCAACCCCCCCGCTACTCACTTGATTTTTTTCTTGGTTGCTCGGTTGTGTCCTCGTGTACCGGTACACAAAGGAAGGAAACATTAACGAACTGCGTCATAACTCCATGTATGGTTATGAAAACAAAAGGAATTCCCTCGTGTACCGGTACACCAGGACAGCCCCGGTTGCTCCCAGTCGACCGTGACTGCACTTTGCACATAGCCATATCTCATTATTATTATTATTATATCAGCGGTGTTACACATCTTAATGCTATGAATTCTAATGGCACAGTAGGTCGTTAAGCGTAGTCTAGAGGCCTTGTCATAAATTAACCTAATTTCCCAGTCAATATCTATCCCTACATATACTAATATACCTATTATATTTCTTTAACACTGATTCAATAAAGCTGCTAAAATGAATTAGAACATTCCAGGAAATTATTATTATTATTTTTATTATTATTATGATTATTATTATAATTATCTTTGTTATTACTATACTATTACTATTATTATATCAATAATTAATGATTATCATTATCATTGCTATTATTATTATTTTCATTATCATTAGTGCTATTATATTATCATTACCACATTTGTGAGCTATTACTGAGTATACGTACGGCAAGGTAGAATCTATTTGATTTGCATGTATATGATAAAAAAATCAAAATGTTGTTGATGGTGACGTCAGCTATGCCAGTAGAGTACAAGTAAAAATTTGTGCACTAAAGATTCATCATACAAATGGAAATAAAATCTTACCGCATTGACGGAGGATTCTAAAGAGTAACTTACTGTTGTAAAATGTCTTCAAATGTGCAAAATGATGATGATAATGATTTGAATCAGAATGCATCACGGTGTCCTCTTGTTTGTTCCAGTTCCCGTAGTTCCTCCTCGTGGAATAAAGGTCACCAGCATAGACTCCACAACTTTGCAAGTCTGCTGGGAAAGAATCCCACACTTCCCCTCCCTGGAGGAATACGAGGTACATTACACTCCTTTTGGACAAGGAAATGCATCGGTTTTATCAACTAGAGCTAACATCACCGTCGCGACTTTAACTGGTCTCGACCCGTCCCTCACTTACTCTGTCCGCGTGGCTGGAAAGACTGCAGAGGGACTCGGTCCACTGAGCTCTCCTATAGCTATACAAACGAGTAACTTTTCTAGTAAGTGGGATTACTTATAGTCCAGTGAATGAAGAAACCAAACCGGATAAACTTATTTTGTTTCACCCTGAGCTCTGCGTAAAATTGAAAAATCATACTTAAAAGAGCTTATCACATCATATGCTGATAGTAGCTAGCAGAGAACTTTGTACGTTCTGTTACCGAAAAAAGCAAAAAAAAGAACAGTTTTACGATATATCATTGTTTGAATTTGGTGCCTTCGACTGTATTGTAGAGACAATTTGAATTACAGTGTTCAGCTGCATACGGTTACGGTATGTAAGAACGGCTCCTGGAGCATGGCAGTCTATGTGGCCTCGGAGGAGGGTGGTAAGGATATTTTGATCAACAGCTTTTCTTTTGGTGAACAGTCAGTAATTTCGCTTTGCTCTGTGGTCAGCACAAAAGCATTTTGGAGAATACGATGAGCCACTGTCAAAAGAAAAGTAAATTTCTCCATATTTGCTAAATTTGCCTTGGAGACGTGAAAGAAACTGATAAATTAAACGGTTGGTGCTAAGAACAAGTTGTAGAAAAAAAATCAAGGTTAGTTGGTACTAACTCTTTTGACTCTCCCTTATAGGGTCTAAAAATATAGTGAAAAGCAACTCTTAATCTATTTCGATAACATTCTTTGTTTCCATGATGATTTCAGTTTCAAAGCTGACTGCATTTACGCGTGGTAACTCGTCAATCATCGTCTGTCTTCCCAGACAACAAACTTTCTCCGCATCATCGGTTGTATATCACGAAGTAAATGTCGCCCCAAATTTGGCACAACGTATTAATGTCTCCGATTTCTCTCGAAAGTACCTTATGATACAAAATCTCTCAACTCATGTAAACTACAGTGTTGAGCTTGAGTTTGCATTGACTTGCGGCCAGAACCGAAAAAGTGAACCAACTTATGTTGTCACAGGAAGAAAAGGTAACCTTCTGTTTGTTTCGAAATTAAACTTTTCACTCTTAGGAAGGACAAATAAGAAATTTCCTCTCACGAAATAAATACAAATTATACAATCATTTCTAAATCTGACCCCCATTTCTCAGAATTGCCAACGTGAGAGCAGCGTGGACGACAGCAAGGGCAATGAAGAGATTTTGGTATTAAATGGATTAATTGGATGAGTAGCTTAAAGAAAGAAGCCTAAGAAACTCCGTAGAAATTCTTTGCTGAGAATCAGCGTTAATTCCTGGTTTGTAATTCTTCACAAAAATGAAGTATACAAACAAGCTCTATTCTTTAGTTTATTTTGTCCTCCAAACGTTATCGGCCGGTTTTATTTATCAGCTGAAGGTCTGAAAAAGAAATATCTTGATATGAAGAAAGGAAATATAACTTTTCAATTCTGTTTTATTTTCAATATTTTTTCATCATATCTTCCACTTCCCTCTCGTCATTTTTTTCTTGTCACTTGGCTGTTCTGGTCTTTGTTGTTGCTGTTTTCGTTTGTTTATGTTTTTGTTGTTGTTGTTATTGTTTTTGTTTTAAGTCTTTCATGTTTCCTTCAGGTCCACTGGCTGCACCGCGTCGTGTTAAAGCAAATATGACAGACTATTCCTCTGCACGTGTTAAATGGTCACCTAACCCCTCCCCACTCGTGCTGGAATATGTTATCCAGTTTGCGCCACTTGATGCTAGCATCTCGGTAATAACTGTTCGAGTAAATTCAACTGAAACGATGGTGGAGATTGATGGACTGACATCTTCTACCAATTACAGTGTTCAGCTGCATACGGTTACGTTATGTAAGAACGGCCCCTGGAGCAAGGCAGTCTATGTGGCCTCGGAGGAGGGTGGTAAGGATATTTTGATCAACAGCTTTTCTTTTGGTGAACAGTCCATGTGATTCTCGTTTTCAAAAGAGTAATTAGTAATAAGTTCAAATTTTTTTTTTAGTATTGTTTTCCGAAAGCTTGTTGAAATCGATCTGGTTTAGAGTTTAATCTCGTTCTAAAAACGGTTGTTTCACGATGCGCTTTCTGAAAACATGCTAGCTGAGAAGTTATTGACGTGTTACTTTTGCGCTGCTGTCAGTCATGTTTGTTATCTCTTGGGAAACGCTTAGGTTAATTCAGAGGGTTCAAAGGGCCTCGTTTCTGAGTTGTGATCGGAAGACTTTGATTCGCGTGTATGTTTGTTATTTTTTTGTCGTTTGTTTGTTGTTTTTGGTTTGTTGTGTCGTTTTTTCTTTGTTAATTTCCTTGGTTGGCTTTTTTTTTTTCTATCTCTACCTTTCGATTGTTAGCAAGATTAAAACTGATCTAAAACACCGGAACATGCCCTAATATACAGTAACAGAAACATTAATTTACTATTCTTATTATTTTATTTATTTTTATCTATTATTCTGGTTTCCAGTGCCCAACCTTTCCCCTCAAGACCTTGTGGCTGAAAACCACACTTCTCTTTCCACCATTCCGGTGTCTTGGCGTCCAATCCCCCCGCAGAACATTTGTGGTGTTCTTCTGGAATACCGCGTTCGTTACACGCCCATTTCGCTAGTAGATGGAACAGAACTCGATGGAACTCCTAAAGAGAAAGTGCTTCCGGCTGGTAATTTATCCACAACACTTGAGAACTTGAACAGATATACTGTGTACAAAATAGAGGTTTGGGGAGCCACCCGTAAAGGAGAGGGACCGAGTGCGACGATATTCGCAGGTAAATGAGCAATTACTGTTATCCCATCGACTGTTGATATTTCAATTTTTTTGCAAAGAACGCGGCAGAGAAGAAAGATAACGACGTTGAATACAGCGGACGCAAAAAAGAGAGAAAAAAAATCGATCCTTATTTCATTGTATGGACTTCGAACTCGATTAGTGAGTGGCTCCTTCTAGCTTTCACTTTCCTTGACCCACAGAAACGTGCTATTGTCACAAGCGATTGACCACCAACTGGATGTTTTTCCCGCCATATGTTGACCACGTGATTGACAATTCCACATCCAGCCTGCCCATTGGTGGCATTATTCCAGCAATTGTAGTGGACATGGTGTCTGCGTGTTGTGGCTACTGTAAAAGCCATGGAGAATCTTATGTTGACTACAGCAGCTATACCAGTAAAGAAACTTTGCAAAACAAGAAAACATACAACGATATGGTTGAGAACATTTCGCAAGAGATCGATTTTTCTTTTCCGGTTTTTGGATTTGAGGGAAAGCTTAAGTAAGTGTACAGACTGTTTTTGTAATTTATGCTTATGAAATTAACAAGTGGATTTCATGTTGCCGCACATCAGTTCACTAAGAGATCACAGATGACGCGAAAATGTGTTAAGAACAAAGAATTGGTACACGAGGTACTTCATAATGATAATGATAAATGACTGTGAATATATAAAAATCACATATGTGAACTGCGGATAAAAACGTGAATATGAAAGCGACCTTTGCGGCAATGAACACTACTTGAGCAGCTGTGAAAACAGGGCCTGAAAAATATTGTCGGCTTTTACGGGATTTGGACCCATGACCTCTGCGATACTTTTGCAGTGCTCTACCAAGAGAGCTAACATGCCAACTGGGAGCTGGTCTTTATGTTGGTTCCAAATAAACCCGTAAAGTGATGAATAAATAACTGTGAATATATGAAAATCACGTATGTGAACTGCGGATAAAGACACTGAACTGAAGTGAACTGTGGATATTTTTTTTTTCTATAGAAGAGCTCATGATTGTTAAACAAATTTTCCTTGTCAGCACCTTAGGAAATGTCTATAGAACAGTATAGAGGATATGCATACTGATGTTAGGGTGTAAAGGGTTTAGCCTATCATGTAACACATTCCTGACACTAAAATCAGCAGACTTCTTTTTTTACAGAGCTCGAGTAGTCATTCCGCGTAATTAAACCCCGCCATGGAGGAAAATAATTTCTTAAAATTGTAAGAGGCAACAGGTTTATTGCTATAGGATCCCTTCTGAAATTTTTAGGTGTTCCAACTTTTATGGCATCTACGTGGGAAGCTAATTGTCCCTCTGATTGAACTGCCAGCCCGTTGACCGACTGTCTCACTGATGAGGCGACAGTTTGTAGTCCCGGATTACTTCCTGACTGACCCACTGAAAACTGCCTAGTTATTATCTGCTGATTCTAACTCTTGTATTTTTATTTCTTCTCTCATCCACAGCTATAAAAACGATTACAGGTTCATTGACCTTATTCAATCGCCTGGCATAGCTCACATTTTGAATACAAAAGTTGACAACTCGAAGGAGTATTCTTTATTTGCTGCTGTTATCGGCTTATGGCCCGTTATGGCAATTACCATGGTATCAGTACTCCTATCGGGAATAGTTATATGGTATTTGGTAAGTGGTTGAGTTTTCAACTAAGCTGCCAAATTCCTAGACGGTAACCAAATTGTTTTTCTGAGATAGATCCTTACGAAAAAACAAGAATGCGCTCGAGCAACGCCCACCTTGGGCCAATAAATTTAATGATGAAGAAAGAGTCGATAACGCATTTGACAGATGAGTAGACGAGCGATTAGTGATGTTTCAGCGATTGATAACCTAGATGAAACATCTTCCGCACTTTGCGATTTCGAAGTGCAATGCTTTACCACTGAGCTCGCTAACGGGCTAAATACTGCAGCATGCTTGTTGCATATGACCTTATCAAATTGTTTCTTGCCCCCTAACGAGTTATCACCGATATCAGACTGAATGTTTGGGGCTCCCTGATTGTATAAAGCTCTTACCCTTACCTCTGTGTTATCCATTTCTAGGAGAGAGAAGAGAACACGGAACAGTTTAAATCATCTTTTATCCGAGGCACCGGTGAAGGTGTTTGGTGGTCATACATTTCCGCTACGACTGTTGGGTATGTATTATAGCTGTATACTTCTTCAAATAAAAAGGTCATTTTCAAACGTTTGCCAGATTATAGTTCTTATCTATACTAGTCACATAACGACGATCTTTGCAATCCCGGACTACTTTAGGTGCTGACCTAAATATTGTTCTGCCCAAAGAGCACCTGATTGGCCATGATTTAAATTGGTGAGCCACTGTGCTTACCTATTTTATACAAGTTTCTCAGTTATGGTATTTTCTTTTCGTATCGTTTTTCAGTAAATCATTCATTCAATCAGTCAGTTAATTAGTGAGAGAGTGATTTAGCGAGTATGATTCAGTGGGCTAGTTAGAATTTAAGCAAATACATTAGTAGGTTGGTAAAGCTGTTCACAATTTCCGGTTTTTAATTTTTCACCTAATTAGCTGGTCGTTATATATGTTCTTTCTCCCTGTAGCTATGGTGACCGGGCGCCAGTAACTGGATACGGCCGCTTGTTTTCAGTGTTCTGGATTCTTATGGGACTTGTCATTATAGGGATTCTCAATGGATCCATCACCACAGCTTTAACATCATTTACTATCGATTTGAACTTCGATATTTATGGAAAAAAGGTAAAGATTACCATAGAGTTCTTATGATTTAGCTGGAGCCTTCAGAGCTTTCAACTTTGTAAAGTGATCAAACCGTTACAACGGAAACCACTGAATTGCGCTAATTTTCCGGTGTGCTTAGATGCATATGATCGAGGCAATCCGCGAAAATATTAGAACAAAAGACTTTAGGTAGTTTTCAAAATTTCCAAAAGGATATGATCTTCTGTTCAGGAAGCTTCAAATCGTTAATCAAATTCTCGCTCTCACTATCATTGGAATTGTAAATGGAGCTATGTGAAGAACATGAATACTGATGCTCTCTATGTTTCGATTCCCAGGTAGCAGCCGTGCAACAGTCTCCAGAATTTCGCTTTGGAATCCGAAAGAATGCCAAGATGGACAATGGTAAGACACAAGGAAGAAATCTATTTTTATAGTTAAAAACTTATTATTATACGTTTTGTACAATTGAGAGTTTAAGTCGCAGCGTCGTATTTCGAAATCAGTGATTATTTGTTGGTGGTCGAGTTCTTAAGAAAGGAAAAATGAACAAATTATTCCCCAGCTCGACTTAGTTGCCTTATTAATTTAATTTCATGAGTTTTAGGGATTTTAGTATCAACGATTAACCCCAGGGGCTTAGGGAGCAAATTCCCTTAAATATGTGGCTGTGCGAAGAAGGGGGAACTTTTATTAAACTTGGTGGCTAATTGGACTGGGGGTATGGAACATTATTGTAAGTAATTATAAAGAAAAGGGATACGTGCGCAACCCCTTCACCCTCCCCTGATTGAAGCTACAACCCTAGATCGCACTATCATGTTATAAGCCACATCAACCTGCGTTAAAACTGGCCAGTGCCAAATGCTTATTTTCAAAGACTCTCAATTGCAGCAAACAAAGTAATGCTGATTAATTAATCATTGCAAATTGCAGTATCGTACAAAACATTCCGTGAAGTGTTCACGGCTTTGGAAAGCGGAAAAGTGATACACGCCTTATTCGATACGTATGCCATTGGTAGCGAGAGGGCGCTCTTCGACAAAGCCAAACATCTTTACATATACAAGATATACGATTATTCCTCAACATATGGTATAGTTTTTGGCGGGGATTCTGGCGTGTTGCAGAAATGCTTTGATTTGTTTAAACGAGGGAACATAGCAGATATATTTAAAAACATCAAGGAGAATATCGATTCGATCGAGGTAGGGTTTTACGCTTTCATTCAAGACTTTCTTTTGTTTTCATATATTGAATAAATTTTTATCCTACTGAAAGACTGCCTGACTGACTTACTGACTAAACGACCTAACGTCCGACCGACCGACCGAACGAACGAACGAACAAACTAATTGACGAACGACCGAACGAATGAATGGACGAACGAACGAACGACCGAACCAACGACCGAACCAACGACCGAACCAACGACCGAACCAACGACCGAACCAACGACCGAACCAACGACCGAACCAACGACCGAACCAACGACCGAACCAACGACCGAACCAACGACCGAACTTACGAACGAACGAACGAACAAACGAATGGACGAACGACCGAACGAACGAATGGACGAACGAACGAACGAACAAACGAACGAATGGACGAACGGACAAACGAACGAATGACCGAACCATTGATTAACTGACAAACGAAGACTGTCTGACTTTTATAACTTATCTCCCTAAGTGAGAAATATTTTCTGTGAGTGTCTAACAGACTTAGCAAATGACCAACTGAAGTAGCAACGGCATGAATGCTAAAAGTAGCTTTTTCACAGATTGACTAATTAATTGATCGATTTAATAAATGAATGAATGATTGAGTGACGGACTGACTGATTGACTGATTGATTGACTGATCTGCTCTCTTTTCTAATTCTAGACCGGTAAACCTTTGGTACTTGAAATGTCTACAGGCCTTTTTGAAGTTTCAAGCCCACTGTTTAAAAATATTGTTTTCTACTGCGGATTTTGCATGGCGGTGGCAGTGGCTCTTGGATTGATATGGGAAATTTTGTATCGCTGCAAAGGCAATAATAAAATAAGAAACGATGGAGGTAAATGCTCATCACTGATACATATCCCTATTCCTAGAATGGTGCCCTGGGCTGGGTTGTTCGTAGTCTGGTTAAGATAACCCAGAGTTAGTGTGAAATCTGATTTCAGATCTGAAAGTTTTAAAAGAAAATTCTGTACAATATTTTTTCTATAATCTTATAATTGGATGCTTTAAAAGGAATAGAAAAAAATATATATCATATGAAGGCTTTTGAACAAAGGACCGGATTCCGTATGGAGACTATGCGTCTGGTGGGTTCGTGCGCTATTCCAGTCTTTGTTTGTGTCATTCGAAAGGCACCATACTCTCTCATAGCTTCTCTCCAACCAGGAGTGAGGATGAGTATCACCCTTTCCACGTGCAAGAGTAAACACATGTATCACCGTCTTCACTCAGAAGTATGCACTAGCATATCCCTTTTCAGCTAGGAGTAAACAAACTATCAGCATACTGTCAGGAAACCTGGAGGAATTATCGGGCTCTATTAATTATGATTGACGACCATTCCATTCAAGATAGGCTACTCTTATCTGTTGGTTAATTCTACAGAAACTCGGACAAACTCTGATGGTAGTTTTTCTCCAGCCTTGCAAGACTTTTTGGTCTTAACCTAACAGATTATGTAACAATAACCGACAAACGGTGAAGATAGTCAGATAGCGAGGGCTAAACCTCAAAAAAAACTTGGGTAACAATGGGTAAGAGACGCTTATGCCAAAGGAACTCTAAGATTGTTCTTTAGATGTTTTGTGTTTTTTTTTTTCTTGCTTACAGGTTTGGAACATGTTAGAGAACAGATGAATGATGTCAGCCGGCTGCGCGAAATGGTCGAAGACTTACAACAACGCATGCGTCAAACCTATACTGATCTGAAAGCCAAACATACTAAGGAATTGTTACTCTTAAAAGAGACAAAGAACGAGAAACAGAACAGCAGAGACCATATGGGAAATCAAGAGTGGAAAAACGAACAGCGAGATCACTTTCCCACAGGGAACCTAATGCGTATTGGCCAGTTCAAAAGTGGGTCGAAGGCCGAGACCTATGCTCACAATTCTAACAATTCAGTTGAAGAATATTTTGATAACTTGAAATAACTCTTTAAAATTACACCCAACTATGAACGAAATATGTTTTGTTGATCACAGACGTGTATTCGACATAAACTTTAACCTCAAAAAGTTGTCGATATCTTCCGATATTCCGATAACGACTATAAAAAAGTTAATGGCTTGTTGAGCAACTTAAACATACAACAGTTTAGCGCGTGAAAGCGTTAAAGGTAATAGATCACACATGTTGTAACAGTTGACCTTAAGCGCGTGGAAGCGCTACACGTATTCGTGTTATAACCTTTAGCCCTTAGCGCCTAAAACCGTGAAAGGCAATACATCGCGCACGTTGTAACCTTAAACTTTTAGCGCGAGAAAGCGTCACAGACAATTTGTCACATATGTTGTTACCTTGACACGAAGAAATTAGATATGAAATAATCTAATATTTCTCTCCCTCTTTTTCATCTTTTTTTGTTGTCATTTGTTGTAACAAGCAAACATTATTGTTAATATAAAGAAAGCAATGTAATATTGGTTGGGCAGGGAAGTAACAAAGCGTAATTAAAAGAATATACCACAAAAAGTAAGTATGTACAAGATTCACACTGAAGACGTACAGTACACTGCAGACGTACAGTCTTACGTAGCACTTTAGCTATTTATTAGTAACTTCTTAGGCAAGTTTTCCGTAAATATTATTTAGTCTCTCCAAGTAACGAATGACTCAGTTGTTAAGCTACGGACATTCCTTCTGCTGATCTGATAAAGGACTAATAACACTCGAGATGTCAAGCCCAGGAATTCTTTACGGTGAATACTTGTGCGATAACACACGTTTATTTGTCAGTCGTATGACAACTCTAAGTGAATCATTGAAAACAATCATTCAAATGGAACAAAGCTTTTAAGCATTCACGCTGGTTTTAATGAACCTCGCACAAATTATAGCGAACAAAAAATTAAGCAGTCGTCGAAATTTTCAATTTTTTTTCTTTAGCTCCAGTAGGTTTTTTATTTCTATAATTATTATTGTTATCATTTTAGTTTTCTTTTTGACAGAACTCTATCTATAATTTCCCAAAACTGTTGCCTTTAAAGCCGTTAAAAAACTAAAGTGAAACATTAACGAAATACGAATTTAAGATACTTTTACATCGAGCCTAAGAATTTTTAAGAAAGAAAAAATGCTAAAAAGTCATATATTTTATGTGGGAAACGTTTTAGTGAGACTTTGAAGAAAAGCCCAAATGTTTTCTTTTCCTGTCGGTCAGTTTGCATTTAAATGTAAATTCAAGATTCAGCAGTAATTGTGAATTACTAGACTAAATAGGATTAAAACACCTGTTATATTTACGAAGATCTAAGCAAGCGTACTCACTAGGCACAGTTTCAAGAAAACTGCTTTTTCCTTTGAGGGTAGCAGCGTTCTCACGGTGATTTCGAAGACAAACAGGTAAGAATTTCTTTGCCAATTTGGTTTTTTTTCCCTTGAGGGAATGATTTAAACTGAGATGTAGGACATCAAGAAAAATAAACGAGTATGTTTGTTTACATTTTCACACTCATGACAACATTTTAGCGATGTATTTTTGTACTCGGTCTTCTAAAGAAATGTACTTGTACGACATGGTTCCTTAACCCGAATATTACAGCCAATCGACTTTTTTTAAGCAAAAGCGGCGGTTCGCCCGGAACGAGTTCTTGTGATACAAGCACTTCATCCTCAATATTTGCAATGTGTATTATTATTACTGTAATCATTAAATATATTCCTCCCAAATATGACGCAAACGATTTGAAAAACTGTTTCGTTCGAAATTAACGGTCTTGTTGTCATACACTGAACGTTTTTGTTATTTGATAAGGATTTGAAAAAAAAGGGTTGAAATTTTCTATAACTGTATAAAGATGCCATTTAAAAATTCTCGAGTATTTCACTCTTGATTGACGTATTACACAGTGCGACACTTAAATATGAGTAATCTTTTCATCTGTCGGACTTCTACGATGTGCAACCGTGTCGTTAAAATAAATCGTTTAGAAGCGCGGAGAATTGCAGCGATATCATGATTGTACTTGCTTGTTACTGATCTAAAAACCACTTTCCCTCAATTTTCAGGATTGTATCACATGTCAATAAACAACTATTCAACGAAGTGCAGGTGGCTAGCGGTGGATATTTACCGAGCCGCGAAGCAGCGTCGTAAATATTCACCGCTAGCCACGGACACTTAGGTGAATGTAATAGTTGTTTTTGTATATACTAAAACAGTGAGATAACATTGCATAAAGAGATGAGTTGAACTCAATTATTCCTGCAGTGATTTTACAGATCGATACTTTAGGAAGCTCACCAAGTTCGCTCCTAGTTTACAGCTGCTCAGGACGCAAAATAAAAGCAAACTAAAATATCCACACATCTGGTTCGCATCCACATCGATTGATCAAATTTCTGCATTAGTCCTAACTTCGCATCTGACATTTATTTCATTCTATTTTATGTTGACTTCTTACTTACAATATAAAATATTCTTCCCGCAGAATAATGGATGATCTTGATGTGCAAGCTTTTCAAGCATCAGTTTCGAAAACAGACGTTGAACGAGTCTTACGACGTATCCAATCTCATCAAGGCGTAATAGCGCTCATGGTTACAAATCGGGATGGCCTGATACTGCGGTCAAATCTCGACCTCAACACCACAAGACTGTACGCGGTGCAGTATCAGAGCCTTATAAATATGACCCGTTCTGCAGTGCGAGAATTAGACCCTCAGAACGAGCTCTGCTTTATAAGGGTCCGAAACAAAAGACACGAGATAATAGTGGCCCCGACGGAGGATCTTGTACTGATTGTGGTTCAGCTTATTGGGAATGTAACGGAGAGTGTACAAGATGCGGTTTTTGAGTGAACCAGTTCTGATCCACAAACAAACAAGAAAAATTGATTCGACAAATTTTTAATTGAAAATGCCCAACGTTTCTTACCTATTAATAATAATGATATCAATTATTAAAGTTATGACCTAAACATTCTTGGTCGTGGTTGGAATTACTTTCTACATCGCAAGCCGAAAGCATATGACAAAAGCAGGCTAGTTGTCGATGAAGAACTTTTTTTTATCTTGTTTTAGCCAGAGGGATTGTCTTGTTAAACATCAACACCTTGCCTAAATATAGTGCAAATCGTGAGAAAAATATCTTGTAAAGTGAGAGACATCTCGCGTTGCAGTGTTTAAGTCATTTACGAAAATTGTCTTCTTTATCGCAAAAAATCTTCTAACACGTTCAAAAACTTTTTAAGAGGAGAATTTCTATTAGAAATCTTCTTTGAAATTTCTGGTACTTCCAGGATTTACCCAACAACAGGATTATTACATTTTTGTATTCCACTTAACCTTTTGGCAAAAGTGTTATAAGTCTTTAACTCCTCTGAGTGTTTTTTTCTCAATCTGTTATAGGTTTTTTTAAATTTGTCATGGAAGTCGTCCACAGCCTCTGCCATATCCGATACACAAGAGTTTTTGTTTCCCCCTGAAATGAAAAGAATTAATTTTTAAAGATCATGGCCATTTTAAAACGCAAATATTTGAAACTAATTTGTTTCCTTTGTTGGGCAATGAGTTATAATTATCTCTAGTAAAGTCAAGCGCACAAGAAATTTCAATTTTGTCAATTATTTCGACACTACAAGAGGTAAACCTCCATTTTTTTCCACTTAGGAACGCATTGAGATAATCCCGCATACAAAATGAGAACATACCCTAGCAGAGGGAATATTACAATTGTCCAAAATGTAATCTATTTTAACAACTCGCCATGTTAAAGCGTATTCTATCAAGTAAAGACTAGAGTTACGGGAACGTATCTGCAATGGAAATGTCTCTCCTAGCTTAAGTTACCTCTTTCTCGGCTAAGACGTCGTTTTCGAAAGAGTTCCCAGGCAATTCCAAGCACAATACTCACAGCCAAAGCACCCGCCACAACAGTGACGGCATCTCGGTAGATTTGAGAGTTGGCATCCACAAGGTTTTGCACTTTTTCCTCAGCAGTACTATGTTTTGGTTGCTGTTTATAGTAGAATGTACAGAAGTAAGTATGTTTTTGATACAAATCCTTCCGTTATCCAGAGAATCGACGTTTTTGTTCTTTCCCAATATCATTTAAATTCAATGCAAAATCGACGAGAATCTTAGTCTTTCGCAATCAAACGCTCAGTGTTCCTCAATTACTGCAAAAAAAATCCTTAGCTATGCTGGCCTGTGTGAACAAAAAACCGGATGAAGTCAAAGTACAGCACAGCTCGTAAAAATACTCAGCGATACTACACACCAAAACATCTTATAAGATTCAAACGACTATGAATATATGAAAGTCATATATTTTAACTGCGGATAAAGACATGAATACGAAGGCGATCTTCGCAGTAATGAAAAATACTTGAGCAGTAGTGAAAATAAGGCCTGAAAAAAATTCAGACCTGTACAGGATTTGGACCCATGACCTCTACTGCTCAAGTAGTGTTCATTACTGCAAAGATCACTTTCGTATTCATTATAAGATTCATTTACTCTCGAAGGCTAACGCTATGAAATAACTGCAGCTGATCTGCAGCCGATACAGGACAATTAATAGTGCCACTCACCAGCAGAGGTGTTGTACTATTTTGAATAATCCTTGTAATTTTCTCTGCATTTTTCTTCACAAAATCACGTATTCGATATCGCAAAACCATCGCATCCCCGGCCAGTACTACACCAAGTCCTTTTTTCACGTCTATTACTTGGTTAACACGATACGTTTTTTCCTTGGCACCACTACCGGCCACATATGCATCCAACAGTAACCCATCGCTCTCTCTATCTTCAAGAGCATTAAACGCTTCCTCGAGGGTATCTCTAGGATCTGATGAAATACAAAGTTTCCCAAATTAAAACTGGTTGATTAAGATGTGTCATGGGCAAACCTAGTCTTCAACTGGCACAATCCACAATCCTAATCCTACACTTAAGGTGGCATTCTTCCGAGGAGGAAGAGGGCAGGACCTTATCGCAAAATAGTGTTCACTCAAGTTTCACGTCCCCATATTTGCAGGCACTATTAATCGAACTCTGTGATCTGTGCTGGTCATTCATTTTTTTTTTACCTGTTTACCCATACTGAAAAAGAGTTTGCCATTTACTTACCTACTATGGCATTTCTCCGTATTCCAAGACGATGCGATGGAGAATCTTTCAATGCAGTCACCTAGGTCAAAATTCATTGATTTGCAGTGGTGAATTAGTGCTTTAAAATTTTATTGACTAATCATGGTTTACTTAGTAAGAAAATCACACATAAAACTTAAAACGGCTCATGTCCATAGTTTCTGCAAAGCTCTTAACAGTTGGCGGAGAACAACCCTTATCTTTTTTCTTTCTGTTTTCATTATCTATCTTTAAATCGGACCCGCATTAATATGGAGGTAAGCAGATAATAACTGATAACTATTTTAGCATAAGTTGCTAGAACTCGTGTCCACTTTTGATAGATCACGGTTTCCCATATATCACCAGAGGTCACTCTATGAATATGAACCGACCTTTGTCCCGTACAGCATCGCTCGCCCCTCATCTGCTGTCATAACAGTCAAAGACACAGTCAGCATTGCCATAAAGAGTGAGAGAAGTACCAGGCCGAGCACGATCCAAATGATCGTGATGAGCTTGGAAACTACTGCCACGGGCACTCTGTCTCCAAATCTGCAGGTAGTAACGAAGAACAACGTTGGCTAAAAATTACCATCACAGGAGCATGGAAGGCTGGGCTATCCATGACCACCCTATTTCTCCCCTCCCCTTCCCCCCCCCCCCCCCCCCATTCCCCTCTCTATCTTTTGAGATAATATTTATTTTCAGATATTTTCAGAGCTAGGAGTATAGAACTTGCGAAAAATCTGCAGTCGCCGGTCGATCAAGCCTAGTCACCTAGGAACCCGAAAATTTATAACGTGCTACCCTCCCTCCTTGCCTGCCCCCAACTTCCTATTAAAAAGTCCTAGCCACGCCTGTCAAAAAAATACGAGATTTCTAATTTAAAGATGTTTTTACCGGTGTATTTGTTTAATTGATAAGTGTTATAAAAAAAGAGACATTTCCAGATGATTGCAGAGCTAAAAATACAATGCTCACCCCACTGTGGTAATTGTTATCAATGAAAACCATGTTAGATCCCCGGTTCCTCTGCAAAATGACCGAGAGAAATCCTCTGAATTGATCTGCCTCTCCTGTTGTAAAGGAGTGATACGATATCATACTAGCCATTCATATACTTATATGTGTATATATATATATATATATAGATAACGAGATAGATAGATAGATATACTACGGTAGGCTTATTAGGAGGACAAACTATGATTATTTGGAAGAAAGAAATGGTTAAGTTGAGCCTTTCAAATCGAAATACCATCCAACTAAAAGCAACAGCCAGAAAAACTCTCTCTTTTCTAAGAATAAAACTCTCTTGCCCCTTAGTCATGTCTTTCCTTCATTTACTTTATCAAAAGTTCACTCTGCTATCTGTGAGATAATTCTTTACTAATATTGTGCATCGTCTTTCCCTTTAATCAATCTGTCATTAAGTCCCATCGTTGTCACTTACTGAAATCCAAATGAAGATCGCAACCATGATTGCCATTATCAATGACAGAGCAACGATGGGCCAACTTTTCTTCAACGCTGAGGTAATCACCCCTTGTCTGCTCGGCTCACTTCCCAACGATATGAAAGCGATACCCGGTGATGCAACCACAGGAATGAAAACAAATTCCTTCAGATACTTCTCATCGTCCATGTTCCCTATGACAGGGAAACTCAAATGCGTTTTATCGTCCACGTCACTGCGCACCTTAGCCATCGATGTCTTTTTAGAGAGACCTCCTTTACCGTTCTGGGTTAAGTCTAAAAATGTGTTCCCATGCCCACCCTGACAAGTACCACATGAATAGGATATCATATCGCGAATAAGCTCCCCGATGATTCCGCCAGGTTCCTGGTCAATCTCTGTAACGTAGGGAGGATAAGGTGCCCAGTTTGTGTACAACTTTGCGGGACACGCACAGGTTTCTATGGGAAAAAATGTCACTTTTTTGAGATAAGGCGAAGCAGATCACAAAAAGGACAGGTATACAGCCGTAATTACCAGATTAGCATACAATTCTGTGTCAAAGGAAAATCCTATCTGCCTAAGGCATATAAGGAATCCAATATATTTTCCTTGCGCGAACGGTTTAGCAGGCTATTGCTAGATCAATTACCTTAAAAACATCCTCTATTTTCTGCTTTACGATTCGTTCTTTCCTTCGTCTAAAACCAAAATCGCCCTGCTATAGAACTTTAAGATCTGGACCGAGCCTTTTCTGCTCAGATCTATGGCCCGGTCAGGAAACGCGCAGTGCCATAAATTCGCGAGAAAAAACGATTATTAGAGGGGTAAAATTGTAATTCAAACAAACTTTGAATTAAGCAGACTGTACAGTTAAATATGGGCTGCAAAATCGATCAGTCATAGTCACGTACTGAGATAACTTTCTTTTCTTGATAGTTTTGGCGGGGGTGGTGTTGCCTTCTTTGTCATTATCATATAGTATTATCGTTTACCTCCAAAGATTGGTTCGTTAATCTTCCCAACTCCATTTGCTGTAAACGCTGCTACTGTAATTCTATACAGCGTGAACGAACTCAGCGACGTCAAAACCAGTTCGTTCTTTTCACCTACTGCAGCTAGCTTGGTTACTATCTTAGCTTTGGCCTCATCATAATCCCGATCCGCCACTTTCAGTGCTTTGAACATGACATGGTGACCCAAAAGTTTTCCATTGACGTATTGCGCAGGTATGGTACTCCATGAAATCTTTAAGGAAGACGTGTTTTTGACTTCCCACAATGAAACTTCTGGGGCGAACCTGGGAGCTATTTTAGAAATTCCAGGATGAACGATGTTACATAAGCTAAATGCGTTAAAATGACTTCATTAAACGCATTAAACATCAATGTAAGGTAACCCGCGCTCTGAAAATATGTTTCCCTTTTATAATGTCCACCACTTTAAGATTATCTCTATTCCTGATAATTTTGCTCTCAATTTAATCTACCGACGAGAGACATTGGGTCTTCAACATAATATTCTGCTTACCTCTTTCTTCCATTTGAATTTCAACTGCGTCACTAGGAATACCATTCCCCTCAGAATTAAACGCTGCCACCCTGATTCTGTAAACGTCACCGTTTGTCAAGTTCACCAAAGAAAGAGAAAGTGTCAGGTTATCAGTGTATATGCTTGTCCATTCGTTGGTCCTGTTAGATCGAAATGCCAAATGATAACCTTCAATTTTATCCACAACTGGAGTCCAAGACATCCAAAGACTAGAGGCACTTGTCAGATATGCTTCGATAATGGTTGGAACTTGGCTAGAGACTATGGAAAATAAAATAACTATTTTAGCTTACTCTGTGGGAATACAAGACAAAATAAGCTCAGTGTTGTTCTTTATTATCTTTGGTTATAACGGTGATGCACTTATTTTGGAATGCTGTCGGGCAAGTGTCAAATTTTTCAAAATTACATTTAATTTTCCATAGTTTGTATACTATGCTCTATCTGTTGTGTAGGTGTCTTCCTCTTGGAAAAAATTTCTAGCGTTGGGCATCATCACCAGGGGAGGACGATAAGTGAAAAATATACTCCTGATAGGATGTGACGCCCTTTTCTCCATATCCTGAATATTCCCCCCCCCTCCCCCAGTTTGGAGTCATTGCCTCATCCAACAGTGAAGAAGTAAAAGGCGAGCACGTCTGTATACAATATGTGTTTTCGTGGTAACAAAAACTTGAGAATGTGATGCCCATAAGGATATATAGGCGCTTAACGGTAATTATTTATCATCGCCACACATTACCTCTATTAGTTGTAATGTTCACCAGTTCAAGAGAAGCTAGAAGTCCTTTGCTGCTCATATTTTCAGTTAGCCTCACTATCTGATCTGATTTAACCACGTAAAAAGCGACAGTAAAGTGGATTACAACACTCCCCTTCCTAAGACAGAAGAACAAATGAAAAGCATAAAAAACTCCTGGTCCTCTGGCTATTCGGGGCCATTTTTTTTCAATTGTATTCATTATAGTGAACTCACCGGCATGATAAGAGGGTAACACTTACAGATTCATCAGGGTACAGGTCTGCGATCTAGAATGTAAACCAAACATTTCTAAGAACTTTATCTTTAAATAGTTATGTCAGACAAAGTACTTAATTTCAGTCGGTTTGTCTGTATATTTTTTTGCTTTCTGTCTGTTTGTCATCCTGTCTATCCGTCACTTATTCGCTTTCTTTTTACCTTACTCTCTATAATATATTATTCGTTTCAACCGACCAGTTTCCATTAGTCCAGCACCGATATGGAAACCTCTCGCCACTGATGTAAAACAGTTCAACGTGGTTCTTATAAAGAAGTGTTGCATCGTTCACATATACTAACCATTTGTCGCAATTTCGTTTCCAGGGAAATGAAGCTAGAGCTATTTTCCACCGACAGTAAGTCATCCCATTTCCAATCGACGAAGATCGCAGTGATATTGAAACAGGTAGCTGAAGCAATTAACGCACAATGATAAATAAAATACACTCATAACAAGGATTCCTACTTTTTGGGCAACGAAACGCCTTCACTATATCTTGCATGCCAGAAATTAAAACAAGAAGATAGATTTTGAAAATTTCGAAACAGCCTCTCCTTAAAATTGACATACTGAATCTCACAGATACATTCCCTTGATTATTCTAACCTTTTACCTATTTACTTTTGAAGACACGGTGGTCTAATTATTAGAACGCTGGAGTTCGGGTCGAGTTTCCCTGGCTCGAAACCTGGCCGGGTCACTATGTGGTGTTCTTGAGCAAAACACATTACTTTCACAGTGCGTTTCTCCACCCATGAGTGTAAATGAGCTCCTAAAAATTTTTAGGGAAGCTTGATGAAATATGACGGGAGGCGTGGGTAATCTTTCGATGGATTGGCATCACATTTAAGGAGAAATAGTATTGAATACTCTTATTCGTTTCATGCTAAGGAAACCGGGATAAGTTTTGGTTGGATGCGCCACTTGAATGGAGTGTAGGTTTAATCTTTATCTTTTTATATTGTTACCTTCGCAGGAAGGAGCCTTACACATTCTTGTCTCCGTTTCATTTCCAGTACAATGTTCTGTCTCCGTTTTGCGGCATGATCTTTGTCGATATTGAAGTCCACTCCCACATGGATCGCAACAAGACGACCAAGCACTCCACTGGCTCAGATTAGAAGATATTTGATGATCTACCAAAAGTATGCATGGAATGAAATCGGAATTGGTTAAATTTAAATATCGATTGCCACGATTTTATCAATTCTCGTCTGCTCTGAAAATAGTTCATCGCCTATGAAAACGAAACCAGAGGCATACAAACGAACCCTGCTTAATTTCTGAGACCGCCAGCCTTTTATAGCATCTTTCAAGTCTTCAAAGTCTCCCTTTCCGACTGGGAATAGCCTTACTTGTTCACTCTGACCCTCATGGTACACGAGGAAGCTAACCGTGGTATCCAAAATATTTATTAGCTGTTTCAGGCTCGTGTTAGAAAAGCATTCCATTGATGTGATGGGAAGGTTGAAAGGAGCTCATGATTAGAAAGAACTTTTCCTTTTTCTTTCCAGTACATTAAATAAAAACAAGACATTTAAGGTAAGACTGAAAAATAAAACAACGACAAACGCGAGGTGGTACCTTTGATAATTGAGCTTTTGACAGATTCGGTAACCGGTCGACTTTGTTTGACTGAACTGTTGGTATCCTGACTGGAAAAAACGTGGTTCGATGTGAATGATGGTCCAGGAGCTTGCTTTGTTGTAGCTTTCACAACAATGTTGGAGAAATAAGTTAATTTTGAGCGGATGATTTTATCTGTTTGGATAACAGTCTCCGAAGATCTGGCTAAGACTTTTGTGGACAAGTGAGAAATTCTAGAGGTTGAGATTAGCCTACCGTAACTGATAGTTTTCACAAGAAATGATGGCGTACTATGGCCAGCCGTCTTTTCCGTGGTCCTTTGAACCTGCGTCACTCCATAGTGTTCACTCGTTACGATTCCATTGACGGCTGAAGACACTTCAATATTCCATGCGGTGGTTGATGTGGGCGTTGGTTTGGGATAAGATCTAATTCTGGATGAGTTTGGGTAGGACGCAGAAGTGATGGTGACATTCACGTCGGAAACTGAAAGAGTCTCCAGCGACTTAGAGGCAGTGTCCTTCGAAAATATAGCCATTTTGGAAGCTGTGGTCTGCTCGAGAACATTACTGGAATATAGAGATACTGTTGCTGACTTCGTGATAGTCGTGTTTCCGGAGACTGAATTCTTTCCCGACACGCTGGTCATATTTCTTGTCCTTGTGAAGAGAGTGTCGTTAAAGGTACTGGAAAACAGCTCTGACACAGCTAAAGAAACAACAACCATGGATTTGTGTGTGGTCGGGACAACTGATGGGCAAGATGAAATTGACACATTGGTCCTCTGCTGGCAAACAGCTAGGGCTAAAGGAAATAAAAGGAAGATAACAATATCTTCTGGACGCAGTACTTGCAGTTCATATAATCATTCGGAGAAAAACTGGTTTTCAAGCGTCGAGTTTCCTTTGAATTTCCATGAAAAGCGTTCACCTCCGTAAAGGTCACAGCGACATTATTTTGGGCCACTTAAAAGGAAAAAAATATGCGAAACTTCCAACCCCGGAAACAGAGTTTGCAACAAAAGGTCTTCACCTTTCCTTTGATTTCCATAAATTAAGCCAATTTAAAAAAAATGTTCGAAATCAATAAGGTGTTTTCATATTACTTGATTTAGAACGAAATGAACTCAGAAGCTGATCATATTTCTTAGAGATTTGACCAGTGAGTAGATCAAGTATCTCTTGAAAGATGAAATAGCACATATGAAATTGTTTGGGCAACTCGCTATGTTGCAGGTTTTAATGTATTACATCTCATGAGAGCAATCTCCTTTTGCTGCATAGCAATATATTTAGCTTTCCTACTAACTTACTCGGACTCTCTATGTAACATTTATCCATAGCATATTTCATGTGTTCTTCGAGCAATGGTCTGCGGTAGAACTGCAAACAAGCAATCCTTCCTTTAAACCCTTTTCCAATGATGACATCTGCATCTGTTCCAACTATGCCCATACCAACATATTTTTTGTCTTGTAATTTTCCGTCGACGTGCAGTCTAGCTTGCCCTGTGTCATTGTTATATACCAATGCGATGTGATACCACCCTTCCTTAGACTCCAAATGGGTTGGAAGAGAATACGACACTTTAAAAGTCTCGTCTGAGCTTGGAAAATAAAACTTTCCCAGAAGTTTCCTGTTACAAGTGCAACCAAACAACAACCCTGAAATTGCCCCACTCTTAGAGCTAATTGTCATAATCTCGCCACCATTTCCTATCAGCGAGTTCATAGACCAATCCCTGTAAATCCAGACGAGAATGCTAAAGGAAGCTGTGATAGAAAGTTTTCCATCTTGTGATATTTGAATATAGCTTGCCGAGGTTCCTTCAAATTCAACAGATCTACTTTCTCCATATGGACCGCCTGTTTCGTTAATATTGTGAGCGATGCCATCTGGATTAGAATTTCCACTTGAGTCTGGTATTTGTTTACTGTCATTAAGGGCGTATATGGCGAAAGGTTCTTCAGTGGTGTGTGAGAAAAAGAAATGGAGATCATCAGAAAAACAATTGAACTTTATCAAAAACTTTTAGTGGTTTATCTTCTACTCTGTCTTTATCAGATAGCATTCCATGTTGCCCCTCGCCCTCAGTCAAGTTTCCCGACAGCAAACAAAAACTCTTCGCATAGGCCAAACCCAGATCTCTTAAACGGTATTTTTACTCTGTGACCACAAGGCGTGGATGCATTGCAGTAATTAAATTATTAATTCTCCGGTCATTTACACATATACCTACCTGACCAAGGAATTGGAATACACATTCTCATGGCCTCCGTCATATTATTTTCATTTAAAGGCTCATCATAGACTTGGAAACACGCCATGCTTCCTGTGAATGCTCCTGGTGATTCAGGTCCATAACCAAGCCATATGTCATGACGAGTGTCCAGCTCGATTACACCAACTGAAACGCTTCTGTCAAGTTGGTGTCCGTAGAAGCTCCGTATGTGAATTGCCATCAGACCAGTTGTGTGATCATACGAGACTCCAATGAAGTACCAAGTAAAGGCTTCAATTGTGATATCTGGAAATATGGACATCGGTTGCCCGTTGCATTTTGGGTACACCTCAAGGTAAATCATACTAACATCAATTGCTAATAGGAATGCCATCTTGCCCTCAGAAGAGAGTTGTATTATCGTCTGGTGACCCATAGAGGTTTCGGTTTCAAACCAGGTAAGTAACGTTATAGAGCTTGTGTTGTAGATTCCATTGTTGGATATTCGGATACAACTCGACTGCGACTTTTGGAAGCGATAAGCTGTGTCTGGTTCCTCTAGATATCCTGGTGCTAGAGTCGTGTCATTTGCAATCCCTGGTATATTCCTGCAACTGCTTGTGTCATTAACACCGTGTGTAGCATCCAAAGAGTAGAAGCCGATAGGAAATGGTTGGCCTTTCAATCGAGAGAAAAGTGAACCGACGTTATGTGCTTATAATTGATTTTCAAGACAGATTTTGAGTCCTGATTTTAAAAATATAGGCCGACTCTCGAAATTTAAACTGAGATTGGCTTGGTAAAATCTATCTATTGGAAACTCTGGAAGGCTCACAGAAATTAAGATTGGACAATATTACTTGATACAAACTCTAACTAATGCGCCCCAAACTGATAAACCTTCGTTTTCGAAGTCGTCTCATTGGTAGCTTTCCAACGCAGCTTGCATTTAGTATTGGTTACGTAGTACAATTGTTTGAGCTGGTGAAATTTTTTTTTCGGTTTTTTTTTTTCGGTTTTTTCCTTTTTTGCAGTATTAAGTGTTTTTTGATTAGTTCATGTTTCTAAGATTTTTTTCTCAAACCTTTTCTTCAGAAAATACTTTTAAATAAATGCCTTAATATTGCTAAAAAAACTGAAATCATCTCTGAAGCATCCACAGGACGAAATTGCAAGAATCCGTAAACGGAAACGTGGCAGAAACATGTTAAACCGTTCTGGAAACACGACGAATAACCTGTGTTTCCGTTACCGGTTTCGTGACGTTTTCTCGCGTTTCCGTTGCTGCGTATACAACGGAACCGGACCACTTTTTGTGCATGTTAAACATAACGGAAACATGGAGTTGCATGTTTCCGCCACGTTTCAGAAATACGGAAACATGTGATTTCGTCCTGTGATCTGTGTCCAGATGAAGGCATCTAGGGCTTAAAATCTGCTGATTTTTACTTGCCTTTTGAAGCATCAATAAAGTGAAATACTTGCATGAACGTAAGACATATACAGAGCTGACTAAATTAAGCAGGTGTTGCATGGGCCCAATTATAATTTTATTCTAATTCAGTTTGTTTTAATATTTTCAACAAGTTTATCGAAGTAAAGATATAATAAGAAACGACGAGATATTTATGCTCTTATTTATACAATACCTGGGCGGATCCTTGTCAACGGTAAATTACAATTTAATTTTTTTTCGGCTTCAAAAGCCGGTTTCAGGTAAAATGAAAAAAAATTCATGAAAATAAACTATCCATTGTTCCTAGCCAGATGTTTGTGCTAACTTTTCAAACGCGACTTTATATTGAGGGCTGGTTAAATTTTACATGTAATACTCAAACTTTTTTTTAATACAAACTTACCCTCTATTTGTAGAATTATCGAAAACTCGATCTGAAATGTAAGTATAAAATGTGGGATCCACCTAAAAATCTGAAAAAATAAATTGTTCAGACATTAGGATGGAAACGTGTATTCATGTTAATTAGTTTTATATAGAAAAACAAATATGCACTAGAAATTGCTAAAATTGATATTCCAGCATACATACCATTTTTTGCGGACTTTGAAATCGGCCTTGAGGAAGAAGAATTCAGTATTAAACAGTAAGTGTTTTTAGGATTTTTCAGTTGCGACACTCCATTGGATATTTCTCGGCCCCGGCACAGTTGAAATTTCCGAAAGAAAAATTGTCAGGGTTAATTATTGAACTTCGACTTGTTTGTCAAGTGACTTATCAATCATCGCTGCGGTTGAAGAAGATGAAGATGAAAAAAAACCAATATAATTTCCCAAGTAAAGTTATGCGCTATGTTGATGACCTGATAGGTTTTTATAATTAAGATTCAAGTTGATCTCATCAAACTTTATTAATATTTATGCTGTAAAATACGTATTGAAAAGCATTCAGATAGATTAACGTAAATCCAAGGCAAAAGTCTTGTTTAAAAACTTTTCAGAAATAAAGATAAAGACAATATTAATAAGTAAAATGATGACGTTGCTATGTTTTTGTGAACCGTGAGAAAGGAACATATTGTCTTTGTCTGAAAGGAAAACCATTACAGTTTGAGTGAATACCCACCAAGCAGTCTTACTCAAAACCTAACAATTCGATTGTGAGAAAAAAAACAATGAATTTCAAGTTAAATCGAAACACCAATCGTGGCTTTAAACTAAGGCAACATCGATCGTAAAGTTCCACTAAGATTTCTTCTTAATAAATGTTTTGATTTAGCAGAGAGAATTATAAACTTGTCATTCAATATTCAGCTGGAGTTCTTACTGGCCATAACTCAACATGCACAAATTCTTGTGTATAAAATTCTAATCCAAACTATGAAAGACTTCTGTTGTTACATAATATATTTTCTATCACGTCCAAGCATTTTTCCGACTCTCTTTTCGTCGGTTTCGTTCCTGCTCAAAACGTCGAAGTTCCTGAACACTTTTATGTGTTAAATCCATGTAAAGTTGTCGGAAACTGTCGTGAAAATTTTGCACTGTCTTCAGCATCTCTTTTCTTTGTGCCATCAGTCTCGCTTTGCCATGCCCTTCTAGAGGAGTGAACAAGATAGGAATTACTAAGACTGCTAGCCTTTCTTTTCCTTTGATTATCAATCGTAAAATAAAACTGGTCATTAACTCGCTGACAAACTGAAGAAAGTGGTATAGACTGACAAGTAGGCTTACTGCTTTGACTGACGGACTAAAGTTATAGTTGATAAGGTTGACTGACTTCCTGCCTGACTGAATGGTCTACTAAATGACGGAACTAATAGATCATTGACCGACCGACCCACCAACCAACCAACCAATGGAACGAACGATACTGACTAGTTAATTGCATGATCCTTATACTGATCGACTGACAGATCAAAAGGCTGACTCAAGGACTGATTTATGAGATGTCCACAATCAACTGAAGTTGCGATTTCCTAGTTTAATTGTTGAATGAAGACAATTTGACTGAATGACCGACTGACTGACTGACTGACTTACCTGGAAGTACTTTTTTTCTTCGAGCGCGAAGTTTGCGAATGGCTTCCCAAACGAGTCCACAGAGGACAGCAGCCCCAAGTGTTTGCAACAGCACAAAAAGTATCTCATGAAATAACGAGGAGTTAGCAGAAAACAGCTCTGTAACCTGTTCCTCGGCTTCACTTTTTTCTGGTTGCTGGAAACAAAGATTGGCAACTTAATATGTCGTCCTCATAAAGCAGAATGACGCGTCCAGCAGCAAGAAAACATGTCAAAGTGCTGTCAGAAATTAGAAGGTTTGAAGTATACCTGTAATGGAGTGGTACTGTTCTCGATCATTTTGGTGATAAGTCCAGCATTATTTCTGATGTAATCACGAACTCTCTTTTGTAGCTTCATGGCTTCTCCCGACAAGACAATTCCAAACCCTTTTGGAAGCTTTATGACTTCCTTGACCCGGAGTTGCTTGTCGAAGAGATCTTTGACGGAGCGACTTCCGGCGATATAGGCATCTAACAACAGTCCATTGACTTCACCTTGCCCAAGAGATTTATAGGCCTCCTGTAGAGTGTCTTGTGGTTCTGGTGAAACAAAGGGAAGGGCAATGGCAAACCTTCAATAAAATGGAGACCCCTAGAACTCTACAAGGTGAGCCTTAAGGCGTTCCATGTTTGAAGGTAACAGCTGCAAACTTTAAGGTCCTTTCTTTTAACATTCGATATTAAATTGTATCTTCTTTCAATGTCAAGTTCCATTGCATCTAAACCAAAATAAATTGCACATTATATGATTTTTTTGCAGCTTTTAAAAGCGTTTGATAGTATCAATGCCAAGGAATCTGATTTCCACGCACCTAATTTAAAATTTTGTAGAAGTAATGTTGCCGCTTGATAACCAGTAGACTAAAGAAGCTTTATTTTTTCCACAGTTTCCGCGCATCGAAAAAAGTATTTCCTTTTTCAGAAGCAAGTATCATAACTTTAGATTTAACATATTTTCTACTCACTGATGAGAGCATTTCTTCTGACGCCAAGTCTATGAGCCGGTGAATCAGTTAGAACCGTCACCTTAACATGAATGCATCCAAAAAGATAAATCAAAAATAATTTCCACGCTACATCTAAATAATCACGGACGGTGCCTCATTATAAAATCAAACATGAAGTGCTTGTTTCCCTTTGTTTTACTAGTAAAAATTTCAAATCAAAACTATTGATTCCATCCTGTTCGTTGTCTGCAGCAAATGAGTGAGAGTGAAAGGAAGTCATACAAAAATCCCCAAATGAGGAAAATAAAAAACCAAAAAGGAAAATGTTAATGAATTTGCTCGTGAAGCGTAGCTCCCATTGCGTGCCTACATTCTGACGTTTACATCCGGGACATCGCCCATGTGCTTTGTCGAAAAAGAACTGGTCTCCATGTTTGTACTAGCATATTTTACAAACCAAAATTGTTGAGTTATGGTCACTCTGAACTAGAAACAGTCGGTAAGTTCCATCTTATTTCGTATGTATTGTAATTTCGCTCGCTGAAGGTGTAATCTCTTTTCGTAAAACACTTGCCCTTTTGCCTAACCGGATATTTACTCGGCTTGATTGCTGGAAAATTTGCAGAATTTTCAATGAAATACATATTTATGAATGACTCTTATGCGGTTCTGCGAACTTTTTAATATGGAGGGACATAATAATACCTATAAAACATTCATGTACCTCAAGAACTGGTCTAGGGTTAGGTCCAATTGATATCCAAACCTCTCAGTAACATACCCTTCAAATATCTACCACATGTATGAACTATAAAAATTAAGATTTGTCTGTTGAATTCCTATTTCCCTTTTATTGGTCAGGAATACTTGGGTACATCAGGGATTGAGGATTACTTGATATTTTTTGTTGGGAACATGCTCTCAGCATAAGGTTTCGCGAAACAAAGTAAATTTGTTTCGCAGGTTTCACTAGAAAAGATAAGTTCAATGAGAAATCCAGGCTTTGCATGGTAACAAGACAGTGGAACCCAAACGGAGACAGCTCTTGGTTTCCTCAGCTGCAGCCTGGTTTCGATCGCCGCACTTGGTGATTTCCTCCCTCTATAAACACCAAAACACCCACCCAATACGGTCTGGACCAAAAGGATATCTCCGAGGCTTGTGATGTAGTTGATTCGAGTCCACTGATTTTCATTTGTTTTTTATTTATTTATTGTAATCACAAGGCTAAGATTTAACATACCTTTGTGCCGTACAAAATTACATCTTTTCCTATCGTGTGGAATGTCAGCGAGGTAGCCAGTACTCCTATAAGTACAGAAGCCATAACTAGGCCAGTTAAAATCCAGACCACCGCGAAAAGCCTTGACCAGAACCCCACAGGCACTCTATCACCGTACCTAAAGAAATGATAATAAACACATTTATGAGATTTAACAATCTAACTTAACAAACTTTCCTATGGCTTCCTGTCGAAATCTTAAAGTAAATTAACTTTCTTCGAGTTCCTTTATTTGCGCCGTATCGAGCGAACGCAATAAAAACTCATTACTTTCGAGATATTGATTTACATTCTCATTGCACGTGGCCTTGAGCGTACACTTAATCTATCACCCAACCCTGCGCAATCTTGAAAGTTACATAACAATATTCCGAACAGTTTAATTTGGCAAAATACATGCAAGTATCCGAATTGATGCGAGCATGCAATAAGTCATCTGATAGTTTTACTGAATTCAAAATATTCTTAGTAACCTGACAGGCACTGATTTATTTTTTCATGTTCTCCTTAATAATTTTTCGAAACGGCTAAAACAAAATAATGGTTTTCTTATCGTTTGGTGATCGTTTATAATTTCATGGTTTACCCGACTGTTGTCATGGAAATGAAGGAAAACCAAAATCCTTCAACAGCCCCCTTGATGAATGAGTGGGCGAAACCGTCATCCCGGCTTGTTTCCTAAATGAAAAAAAAGGAACGCGAGAAACGTGGGTTTTGGTAATAATTGCATATCTACATAACAAGTAGTTTGCATGACTCTCCACGAACTTAGACTACGTCCACAGGGGCAATGCATATGTATTAAATGGTTACACGACGCTGACACTCTTGGGGTACCAGGGAGGTTTTTGTCGCTAATTTTTTTAGTTTTATCGTAGAGTGGTTCTTTATAACTTAATACAGCTACTTAACGCAATTTAAATCCGTTTAGGAGAGAACCACAAATCATAGAAAAACGCAAAACAAGCAAAGGTAAGGGACGAGGGAACAAACATGCCCAATAATGGAATTTGAAATTTATAACAGACAATTCTAAGCTTTAATAGAAAGACCCAAAATCCACAACGTCTCTTCTTGCCAATACAAGACAACCTGACCAAATGGTGGACGGGCTATCGCCTTTTGAAGGAGCCAACGTATGACTCGGATGAGGATCACACCATGTGTAAAGAAAGCGCAAGGCCAATTCTACTCACCAGGGCCCAGATGATGGTACCAGCTACGTAAGCCATCATTAAACAAACCAGGTATAGCGGCAAATACTTCAGCAGTGTCGATACGACTATGTTTCTGCTTCCATCCTTCTGGCCGATTGTGATGAAGGCGATTCCTGGGGACTCTACCATTGGAACAAATACATAATACCTTTGAAATTTGTCATCATCCATGGCCCCTGTAACAGGAAAGCTTATTGCTGTCTCATTGTTAACGTCCAAGATAACTTCATTTAAAGTGGTCTTATGGGCTGCGCCTCCTTTGCCGTTAGTATTAAAATTCAGAAACGTGTGTCCATGAGCTTTACAGACACCACAGGAATCCAACAGCATTTCTTCCAAAAAACTGCCAATAATTCCTTGCGGTGACTGACTATGGACGGATTTGGTAACGTACGGAGGAAGTTCCGCCCAGTTGGTGTTGAATACTGCTGGGCAACGACAGGTATCTGTTATTAAGACAGGAATTTGAGTCACTGATTATCAATGATAATAAAGCCAGAGCAAAGTGCATGGCATTAAGATGAGCACGCAGTCCTCGAAAAAGTGAGTTGCTTAACATTATCTTTTATTTTTTCGTTGCTAGATTGAAAAAAGTAGCACTGCTTGATTTTAGTAACTATAAAAATGTAAACGAAATACATTTGGGTTGTGATAGAGCTGAGGGATAGTCCATTCATTCTTTGACCAAGGTTTCGGCTTCAAAGTACATTATGGATGTTACTTGGGAAAAGTCACAAATGACTTATTAAAGTAATCTTTCAATTGAAATTTTGCTGACTGTTTGAACTGACGACTAGAATCTACTTCTCCCCAGATATATGAGAATAACCAATTTTTGATATATCATACACTTTTTATTACCTCCCGTCACCTTGACTGATGATAAGCCATTCCCCTTGGATGTAAAGCCAGCTACTTGAACAACGTAAGAGGAGTAACTTTTTAATCCAGTAATCTCTGTGTGGAGAACGTCTGGACCATCAACAGTCATGGTGGCCATCTCTTCACTATCTACTCTTTCATCTGCCACTTTTACTACTTTGTAGGTGACATGGTAGCCAAGTAGTCTGCCCATGACATGCTCCTCTGGCAGAGGCGTCCATGAAACGGCAAACGAATGCGGGGATGTCATGTCTTCCACATTTACAAGTGGAGCAACCGTCGGTACTAATAACAAAAATACCATTCAATCAAAGTTTTGTTCGCCTGTTACTAATAAAAGGCACCAGCCAGACAGGATTTCTTCTGAGTGATAGGGCTAAAAGGAATAAAGAGGTATTTTTTCTCCCTGATCGTTTGTAGAACATGAGAGCAAAAGCTTACCCTCCTCTTCCATCATAATTTCTTCAGCTTCTCCTGGAAGCCCATTCCCACTTTCGTTGAATGCCATTACTCTAATCCTGTACACCATTCCTTCCTGTAGATCCGTTTGTTGTAGGGTGGTAGTATGGCGATCAACAGCGACTGTGCCCCACCTCTCCTCGTTGATTGGACGAAAGGCAACCTGATATCCATCTATTAAGCCCTCAGTAACTGGTGTCCAGAATACTTTAATACTAGTGGCACTTGTCAGGTAAGTCTTGGTTATTTCAGGAGCCTGGTTAGGAACTGAATTACATTTTAAAATATGCGGCTGTTTCTTTTTTTCATAAAAACCTAAGCTTTATCTCCTTCGTTTGATAGACAAATACACAAACTAAATTGGGCGTCAACATAATGCGATAAAAAACGCTAAAAAAATTAGGGCAGCCGAAAGCACTTCTATCTTTGATATGATAAGGTGCTTTCATAGCACTAAGTTTGCCATATCCTGTGGAGTGAAGTACCACCGTCGCACAGATGAAATCAAACTGGATGATTTAAACTCTAGATATTTTGCCAATAAATGCTATTTCGGTTACCAATTATATCGCTACGAGTGCTCAGGCGCAAAAGACACCAAGTCAATCAACACCATGGAAAAGGACTAACCTCCTGCTACCGAAAGAGAGACAGAGGAAACTTTTAAGTCTGCTATTCTGCCATCTTTTTCAGCGGTATCCGTGAATATCAGTAACTCATCCGAGTCCAGTTCACGAAATGTGATGGTAAAATTTACAGTAACACTTCCCTTCCTGCAAAGATTTAAAAAAATGCGAAGTATTTAAAAGAGGAAATGGCAATATATCTAAAAATTTGCGACCCTCGATTTTAATTAAAATTGCTGTTTCTTAAGAATTGGTTCATTCAAATCTTACCTGCATTGATTCAAAGTAATGTTCATTACTTTTAGATTCCCAGCATACATTTTCCGAATCTGAACGGTATAAAGTGATAGAGAAATAAGTGTCAAATTGCTGTACTTACTGAAATACTGACACTGTCAGGTAATACAGTGGATTTAAACAGGATTAGCCTATACCAAGTGCTTGCTAAATATGTTAAGCTGCTGTCAAATCTTTTACCAATTTATCCTCGGATAAAGTTATAATTTCTTCTCAAGCTCGTTCCTCATTCAATTTTCCATTTTAAGGCTGTTGAATTTTACCAGTGTTTAAGCTAAATTACACAATGTTAAGAGGTAGGAAAATGCTTATATTGTAACTTATTGTTGATTGTTTGGTGTTAAACGTTTAACATCATTTTTAACAGTGGAAGCCTACGTTTCTCTCTATCTTGGCTTCCAGAGTTTTGAATAAGACGCTGTTCCTGTCAAGGAGTAAGTCATCCCAAGTCTCATCAGTCAAATGTGCTTCAACACCCAAAGGCACGACTAAAAAAAAAAATTCCAAGAGATTTAAGGAAAAGGTAAGTCAGTATTAAAGTGAGTTGAAATGTGACAAGAAGGTGCTTTTTGGGGTCTTGGTTGGAATTAGGTCACAATTTTGCCAATTTACCTTCAGATGTAAACCGAGTTTGTTATAAAGGGGTAAGTTTCTATTCTGTTATAGATAGTTTTCATTGGTCGTCGTGTTAGCCATGCTTTGATGGAAAACAATCAGATCGACCATGTTAGGGTGTGAACTAGGCCTAAAACGATGAACTCTTTCGTAATGCAAATCCCTTCCTTTCGTTACATTTCGGTAATGTGGGTGAAAATTGTTTTCAAAGAATTGCATGAGGCCCGAAGAAATAAAAAATGATCTTAGAAGAATTATCTATCTCTAAAAAACTTGGGCTCATTGATGCTGCATCGGTGTCCTTTTCTTGCCATTAGTTATTATTGACTTCAAATAATAGCTTAGCAACGTCTTCATTGACCGTATCATACCTCTACATGGATGTATATTGCAAATTTTCACTTCGTTGTTCTCTCCGTTGCATTTTGTACTGTTTTTGATGACTGATTCAGCAACACATTCCCTTGATCTCTTGCGTGAGCCGCCTCCACAAGGCTTGTTACAGGAAGACCAATCACTCCACTCTTTCCAAGAAAAAAAGATGTCAAGATCTAAGGAAAACAGATGTTGATGTAAGACCTTCCTATCTTTTAAGAAAAAAAAAAGTAGCTTATTTTTCGTTGAAGGAACTATCATCTACTTATGAATAGAATAAGAAAGATCTTTCTTTTTCTATTTACAAACATGACGCTATCGACATCGCTGATCCTAGCGGTATGCAGGACGCGTCTCATACATGCATGGACCTCGTAATGGGCCTTGCCCACCAAAGAGTCTCTGTGGCTTAGTGATAGAGCATCAGCATGAGGGGACGCAAATCGTCTGTACTGTAAGTATCCCGGAGAGTCCCCTACATTTTCTCAGACTTTTAGTCTAAGAAAATGTATGGGGACTGTAAGGTGTCATAATCCTGTTGCTGCTGACATCGATGTGACAGATAATTGCTTTTGCACTGTTTTCTTTGCCGGCTTATACTTGTCATCAAGTTTCAATAAGACGGCTATCATTTTTCATAAGTTTTCGTAAATTGTGAGATCGGATGAGATTAAAATGGGATTAAATCACCTACAGAGCTTGATATGTACTTACAGTGCAGACGATTTGCGTCCCCTCATGGCGCGGAATCCAATTGTCTAAGTTTCGATTCCTCGTGTGGACCCAGAATTTTCTCTTTGTTCCACGCTCGTAACAAGACGAAAAACATCATTCTTTATCATGTGCTTACCTTGACAACCAAATAATTCCACTCTCATTGATATGTGTCCATGCCAGGTTACTGGTCGAAAACGAATGTAACGGGCGCTGATTGGTGGACTCAATTTGTGAACAACAAAACCGTTCCTGTCCGTGTTACCAATGAATACCTAAAAATCAACATGTAAAAAAACAACTTTTTTTTCGCTGAACGTAATAGTGAAAATCGAGAGAGAGAGAGAGAGAGAGAGAGAGAGAGAGAGAGAGAGAGAGAGAGAGAGAGAGAGAGAGAGAGACTTCTAAGCTGAGGGAATGAGAAACCCGTCTGCACCTTTTTATTTAGCCCTCTTAAGAAATTTTGAAGCCCTATTCATATGCCCACTGGTACCCAAGTGTCTTGTCTGCTGATACTCAAGCTGCATGCTTCTCTAGCCAGTGAATTATTCCGTGGAGAACTATCAGAAATGGTCGCATAACTATAATATTCTGTTATATCCCGTTAATATATCCGAAAATTTAAAAGTTGTAGCTCACATGATCCGACTCTGATGGGAAGAAACGATCCTTTACTAGATGACATCCACTTTAAAAAATCTAATTCTATCAAATATTCGGAGGTCAATTTAGAATGTCGATTCCCCATGACAAAGACTACTAACATTTTCTTCGAGCTCTCCTGGCTCCTTGTAGTAGGTAAAGTTTTCTCCGTCATCACTGTACTGCAGCTTATAAGTCGTGACAAACTGCTTTTGTCTTGGATCTCCACCATTCCTTCCCTGTGTTCCTACCATTGTTATCTTAATGTCGTCTCCTCTGAGATCAACCTGCAGCCACTGTTTGAGATCATTAGTGAGAGCTGACCAAGCCCCCTGCTTGTTACCATGTTGTTTATATGTATATCTACCCTGGGCTGCAACAGTGTTGTTGTCCAACTGTGATGAAGCACTTATTTGTGCATCAGATATATCACCACTTTTCATGCCAAGAGCCTTACTTCGTGTACATGCTAAGAATTCAATACAAAGCGAAATGGTTAAATAGTGGTGAAATAATTTTACCAAGTTTTGGGGGAAAATTTATTTCATAATGTTTTGATATTTCAATATTTGAACCTCTCCGACATTGAGTAGTCATCAAAATGTTTAAGGTTTTTTTACACGGAAAAGTGAAAAATGAAATTTAAAAAACTTCTAAAACTGAAAGCGAGCAAACAAGAAGCTACATCCAAAGAGAAAGCTGCAATTTTTGAGAGATGTCTTTGAAATTGTTTGTTGCCTGTAACCGATTCAACGTTTCTAACTACCACATCTCATTTTTTACGTTTTTTTGCCTGCTGTACCAACTATAGCTAGGGGCACATATCTCGGTCTCTAAGGAATAACAAACTGAAACCGGATGGCGTTACCTTTGATGTTATTTGGATGGCTAGTTGTTAACGATCGTTGCGTTGTTCTCGTTGGTTGAATTTGCATAAGTGTTTTGTTGTTTTTGCGAGGTAAAGTATTGATAATGCTGAGCTCTTGTTTTGTGATCATCTTCACAGAAAACTTGAGGATGGTGGCGCTTTCATAAATACTTGTTGTGGTCGTGGGTAAATTTAGAGAAGATGACTGCTCGACTGAGTGGGATGAATTTGGCGCTGTGTTGATTCTTTGAGGTACCTTCCTAGTAAGCCTGGGCCTTTGATTTGTGATCTTTGTCATCGACGACTTTAGGATGGCTGCACTTTCTAAAGAGTTGGTTATGGTTGAGGTTGAAGCTGTGGTTGTGGTAGTGGTTGTAGTTTGGATTGTGGTTGTGAGTGAATTTACAGGCTTGAGGTTTGCTGCGCTTTCAAAAACGCTGGTTGTGGTTGTGGGTGAATCTAGAGTAGCTGACTGTTCGATTAAGTTCCATGACGTTTGGGCGATAACACGGAAGAGTGAGACAGTATTTTGTTGTGATGCGATACTGGAAGAAATGTACCATGGGTATGTGGTAAGCTTTGTTGAATATTCAGAAATAGTCAACTGATTGATTGAGAGAGTCGTATATTCCAAAAGATGTTGTGAGGGGAAGAGGATTAAACTGCTCTGATGGTGTGTGCTATGAGGAAGAATTTTCAGTGGGTTTGTGGCCAAAATCTCCGCAGACAGGAAGGTGGCCTTACTCTCAAGGAACAGCCTTGTGGCTGTTGACGTGTGTTGAAGAGTTGATTGCTTGATTGGCTCGGATCGGTAGTCTGGTATACTTGCACTTTGAGGAAGAATGTCGTTTGGGTTTGTGGTCAACGTCGTCGCTGAATGTAAGGTGATTATTCCTTCCACAAAAACCCTTGAGGCTGAGGGTATGATCGGCAGAGATAAAGTTTCTCTTAATTTAGATGGCTCTTGTGTGCCTGGATGTTTCTGAAGTGAATTAATTGTTAAAAAATGCAGAATTCTTGTTTCAACACTTGCAGACGAAGCAAGTGCTGATGTTGGCGTTAAGAATCCTGGCTGAATCATATTTTCACTAGAGTTCGATCCATCTACAGACTTTGTACTTGAGGCAAATAAAGAAGAAATTTTTTAGAGACGAAGCTGTTATCTGCCATCTCCGTGCGCTCAGAATAAATAGACGTCCGTGTTGAGTTGGGCCCTGCAGAAACGCTCATCTTTAATAACGTCTGTGCATCTGAGCATGTTATCCTGGAACCATTGTCAAAAGGTTTGGTTGGGCAAACGAAATCGTCTAAGTTGTATTCATATTTACCTGTAAATTGCAAAAGTAGTTATTCTATCACTCTTCAGGAGCTGTACATGTACATCAGACAATTTGGAGACAGCCAAGTGATTAGTTATGACGCGCCCTACAGGCGATGGAATCATCGTGAAAGGGTTCTCTTTTTGTTTGACAAGACAAACTAATTTTTATCAGTCGAAAATGACATTCATATATATGCCGCTGACATATAGGAATAAATACCGTATTATATTTTCAATCTTTCACAAGAACCGGTTGAGTCAGCATGATCACAGTGAATTCTACAAGTTTCTTTAGCCTGCTATTTTGGGGTACTTTTTGCACAATTTTTTAACACTTTTTTCACTCAAAATTTTCTACGATTTTCAATGAAATCGGTAAAGTCGTGATGGGAAATAAAACACAATTTAGCCGTTTTTCCTGTTTTTGCGCTTCTGTTGAGACAGGTTGAATCACTGGGTTTACAAAATCACATGCATGGATGTAATGAACAAGTTCAACGTTTTAAAAGCCACTGGAAAGTCCCTTAATACCCGTTGATAAGTAGAATTGATGTTCGTCTTTTTCTTAAAGAGATATTCAAGGTGCAAAATAAGGAATACGGTGGGGTGACTTTATACGTCTCTGTAATGAGAATGAAAATTTGTCTCTACAACACAACACTATAACACAACACTGTATGTTTCAAGGAATTTGAATGAATATCCGATCTACTTAATTACACCACCTGGAAATTAGTCAGGTAAGTGCAGAGAATAGCATTTCAAAGGAAGGTTCAAGGCGTTTTTGGACAACGCGTAGAATGCACAAAATGAATAAAAAATCATCTGCCCCTAAATCTGAAAAATTAATGTCATAAGTGTATTTTCTGAAGTGTCCTACTTCATGCTTGCAAATACCTATCCTATCATCAGCATGGCTTTCGTCATCATCAGTATCGTCACCTTTCAACGCTATCTTGCGGCAAAACTTCTCCACTTTAGTTATTTGAGAAAAGTCAAGAGCCCGGCGGTAGAGAATGAAGCACCTCATTTTTCCAGAAAAATTCTCAGGTATCTCCTGTTCATCTTGATCAGAAGCTTCACTCATAAATTCAATGTTATTACCCAAATATATAAATTGTGGCTCCTGTATATTCACATAACCCCAGTGCGCACTATGGGTAGAGCCATCGCCTGCGTAAAGCGTGGCATATCCTGATGTTTGATTGTAGGTAACTGCTGCAAATGTCCAGTTTTTGATTTTCATGCTCGTCGCTACCTTCAGCTTCTTAATTCGCATATTGTTTTCACATTTTGAGTACAGTGAAAAATGGAGGTCGCGGTCGTCTAATGAAAGTAGGAGAATTGGCTTGTCATGTGCAACAAATTGGGCAAGTGTCCTCATACCGAGGTCAGCTGCTCTAAAAAGGATTATCATTGTCAGATCCTTCAACTTAAAGTTTCCATCATTATTCGTTATCCGAATAACTGTTGTCCGTTTTTTCACAGGGAAACTCGGTACCCTTATTGGCCAGGATAAGGTCTTCCCATCGTCAAAGTATTGGGCGTCTCCATTATCACAGCGACTTGTGTCGTTTTCCGTACCTTGAAGTGGGTACACAGCTACAGGATCATTCCAGCCCCAAACGACTTTAGCGGGAAAAATAACAAACCAAAAAAAGAGAAGCACTATAAGAGCAGATGTCTTAAATAATAGACTGAACTTTCTTTCTGCGTAATATCCACGCGGGATGTTGGGTAAACATAAGAAAATTTTGTAATTACGAGCCGGAGGCGAGTAAGTAAGGAACTTTTTGCGTGTTCCCTCAACATCCCAATTGGGTTCACAGTTTCACCCCTGTAAACCTATAGAATGGCAATTTATTACTTTTATGAAACAATTATGGGTGTACCAGTGCAATAAATGATAGGTTTTGGCCAATCAGGGCACTGGTATCGTCTTAGTCATTTTAGGGATATTGAATAGACACTAACAAGATAACTTCTGGTAAGTTAGAGAAATTGTGATGATAAAGCTTAAAATGGAACTCGCATCAAAACTTCACAGTATGGCAGTATGGTTGGTGTACATGGCCAGGACTGTAAGGCGTTAATGAATCAATATTTAAAAAAAGAAAAATTTTAAGGCATACTAGGCGCCTAGTAAATGCCGAAAACAAAATTTTTTTAAATCTAACCTGAATAGCGAAAGCAAAAAGCTCCAGAGAAAAGCTCAAAAGAAAGTTCAAGTTTTTTGCTTTGGATCTTATTGTTTATGATCGATAATTGTGATTTTACGGTGAGTTTATGCGCAAAAATATGATATTAAATTAGCATTCTGCATGAAGGTACAGAGTCATTCGAGATACTCATGGAAATGCATGATAAACAGGAAACATTCATAGACAGACTAACCTCTTGATAGGACACTCAAACAGAAGAACAAACGAAAGAATCGAGTCTGTAAATAGATTCCAAATTACAGGTCTCAAAGCAATATTTATCTATCTTTATAAAAAGAGAGAATAAAATTTGATGAAAGGGTGATATTTTCAAAATTTTTACCATCGTGTTGGTCCCAAGATATGATCGACAAGCCTGCTTGAGTTTCTTTAGGCGATCTTAGGTTCCAGTTTAAATTATTTTGGTGGAAATGGAGAGTTCTTCGTACTTTCAACAGCTGTTGATGTTCGCAATCTACATTGTGGTTAAAAAGGTACCACATAGACAATGCACATTGTGTGGAAAACAAATATTTATTTCAGGTTTATTCTTGATTCTCAGTGGGAATCAGGTATTTTCATCTGCGTTCGATTGTTGTCATCGGCCTTAGACCAATCTACATAACGTGCTTTAAACCTCCGATGAAAAGGAAAAGAAGATCTCCGAGCTGGAAAAACATCTCTTTGGTCAGCGAAAAAAACCAGTGCAAAAGAAGTCTTTCATCCATGTAGCTCTGTCAGAAAATAAATAAAAGGAGAAAAAAAAAGGAAAAAAAAAAAAGAATACTGTTATACATTATTATTTACTGGGATGAAAATTTCAATTATGACGGCACTTCCGAGATGTTACTCATCACCTTTCAACCTTTATAATCGGTATTCAACCTTTTTATTTGCCCATAAAGGCTTCAAACTGTGTTCCGGATTTGAGTTTCACAAAAAGTCAGGATTCAAAATTGAAATGCTTTTGTTCCATAACCGGAGTCAAAACCTTAGCCGAAACACAGGCGGCCCAAGCTCCAGCTGTGAGATGATCATCTTGCGAAATAAGAGTGGTGGCGAAATTAAAAGAGTTTGTATGGGAATATTTACGACCGCTCCTAGGAATAAAAAAAATACGGTCAAACTCCCTATATTCCCATACAAACTCTTATAATTACACCATGACTCATATTTCGCAAGATGGTCTTCTCACAGCTGGAGCTTGGGCTGCCTTTGGCAAAAGGAAGAAGAAGTGGAGAGAAACACTCGACTACCTCTCGTCTTTCTCCCCACTTCTTGAGTGCTCTAGCCACTTCCTAAGTGCTCTACAACAGAACAGAGCAAAGTCAAGGCTTATCTTTTTGCTTTATAATAAAGAAGCCATTAAATTCCCCACGCATTACTTTCAATTTTCAAAACAAACTTTATTTTCAAATATACTCTCATAAAAAACACCACAATAAGCGATTAGTGTGAATTTCAATGGTTATGCTAATTTGCTATATTTTTCGTAATTTCCTGTTTTTTTCTGTTCTGTTTTTGAACACGAAACAATCTATACTATAAGAGCGTTAGCAGTGTTTGATTTTCATTACCGTTCGTAATCTGGCAATCTAATTGAGCGTAAAAACCTTCAAAACTCTGACTGTCCATTGTGTTTTCTCTTTGAGGATTTCCGTCTCTGCTCACGTTATAATAACGTCAATTTACGGTGCTTGGCATGCTTGCAAACCTTTGTCTGGTTCTTCTGTTGCTACTTGCTGGCTCGTTTATCCGGACATTTCAATTTCAATTAACGAAAAAAAGCTAGAGAGAAGTCCCGGAAAAAGTCGGACATAGCACAATTTGGCAGGTGGCGTGACAGCTTTAGCTCAGCTCTTTGCTTTGTACTCTGATAAAGCACGTTTCTTCAAACAATGGCAGCGCGCATTACATCCGAACTTTATCATTAATCACTGCAGTTTTCACATTAATTGAGCGGTCGCCTCTATTAAGCAGTACAATTTGGCAGATGGCGTGACAGCTTTAGCTCAGCTCTATGCTTTGTACTATGATAGAGCACGTTCTTTCAACCAATAGCAGCGCGCGTTATATCCGAACTTTATAATAAATTACTGTAGTTTTCACCCTCGTTGAGCGGTCCCTTCTACTAAGCGGTAGTGGTCATCCTTGACTGGGTCCCGACGATCGGTTTGTACTGTCTTCACCTGAATTAAACGTCTACTTTAAGTGCGACAACTGAAGTAAAACTAAGAATAATCTTTCAAGTTAAATTTAATTGAGTTTATCTCCCAAAATTGATGCTCAGAGTATTTTTGAACAATATTTTGTACATTGCGATTTTAAATATAGCATAACATGAGTTTTCATCGTTTTTTATACCTGTCTTAAGCGGTAACCACATAATAAAAGTTCGATGGTGGTGCAATCTTCAAACAACTATGCCTTTCACCATTTGTATGGCAAGCCCTTGTATAATAGAGGCTGTTAATTTCCTGCAGTGAACCAAACGTTAGAAAAAAAAGCCAAAAATTGAAAAATAACACGACAAAAGAGTTTTACAAGTATTGCCTCATAGAGCAAAAGAGTCAACGAAAACTTCCATTTTTCAAGACAAAGTGTATTTTCCATTTTCATTACTTGTGTCGACGTAATACATTATTAATATGTCATAATAAACCAATTTGTATTAACAAACTGTAAATTTTGCAGTCATAACAATTCCGATAATTTATTGTTCATGTTTTTAACTGTGCGTTAGTGGTGTTGACGTCGATCTGAAAAATGTGTGAATTTTTCCTTTTTTTTCCATTTTATTTCTTTCGAACTTTCATTCCTACGCATGCATAGTCTACTTTGAAGAGTTTCAAGTTTCCAAGGCAGAGAAATGAAATTGAGTAGTACAAAATACTGAAAATAAAAACAAGAACAGAATCGAGACTGAGATAAGGTAAAGTTTCAACAGGAATTGCGTGACTGGCTCCACGCGTTCACCTCGCGTTCGCCTCGCGCTTGTCTCTGCTCGATTAAAAGTCACGACAGTCTTGCAGGAAATGGCAACTACATTACAACAAATAGTGATATGCTGAACTGAAAATTTAGGAATGGTATTCGGCAGTCGTAAATCGAAGCATTTTCACGATTTTCTGTTATTTAGAGAAATGAGAATTATTGCAAGCCAAATTGCTTCATTTTCTTTGAGCTGTTCTCTTACTAAATGTAAAGAATTTCGAGCTACTGCGGTTTCTGGAGTTGCTAAACAGGAAAAATAGGCAATTAATCGATGTCAAGCAAATAATTAGCAAGTTATTCGGTATTTGCGTATTGCAAATGAACAGAAAAATTTTTTTCCAAAAATGTTCGTGACAGATCTATTTTGAGTTTGATGCTTTTTTTTTCCACGACCATGTGACCAATTGTTGTCACAGGCTCTTGACCACGCGCTGTACGAAAATAGACTCTGTTTTAAGTAGCAGTCGTAGCGGGTTTACTACAAATTTTTGCGGTTTTCCTACCAAAATGGCAACGAGAACGGAAGAAGGAAATTCCAAGGGTATGGTTCGCAAAGGGAAAGAGCTTTGGAGGGCTCTTCGAAATAATCCTATCGACAAAGAAAGAGTTAACGAGCTCCTCGGAAACGGGGCACCTCCGAACTTCCGAGATCCCGATAAAACGCAGGTACACTGCACATATTGTAAGGATTCTTAATAGTATCTACTGTCTAGTATTTTAGATTTTTACCTTTAATGATGTATGTAACAAAAGCCTCTACTCCTCCACGAAAACGCGACTAAAGTGGCTATTTTATGGCGACTGGTCGACATTCAGTTGTCAGACATGATTGTTTCAAGACAAAATCCATCTGAGTCTTCAAAGTCATTTTGATTCTACTGTGCAATTTGTTCCTCTGCTTTTCAACCATACCCAAATTCCGACATTACCAAAGTTTAACATATGAGGAGATGAGACATGTGGATTTGACAAAAATCCGGCATTTCTTCGCTGTAAACACACTCTTTAGTCAACAGACTTTGTAATTGTGAGTTTGTCATGAGCATTTTCGCATCGTTCATCAACCAGTCAATTAGTTTTAAAACCAGTATTACACTAAAAAATAACACAATGCAAATTCACATAGATTCGTTAGAGACGTTTGGTTTGGCTTTTTACTTTGTAGTTTGCTAGGTTTTGAATTCAGAAGAAAATCTGACATGCAAATTGTTACACCATACGTAAATATATTCATTTTAGACTTTGAAGTCGTCGAGGTCAGATTTCGGTTTCCGGGAAAATTCCCGTATTTTCATTTTCGATTTTACGATGGCAGTTGCCATTGTAAGCTTACTTGAGTAGTTCAATCGCTATAGTTATTCGAATTACATCTAGTTTGGGGTTAAAAAGAAAGTGTCAGGATCTAAAATAGCATTATTTATTTCATGGTCGATTTGTCACGCGGTTTAACCGACGTGAATTGCGACTGTTTACAGTTTCTTAAGAACTTCTCTGATCAAAAAAAGCTCCAGTTTAATTTCCGGCTCGTCAGTTGGCGGTATTTGTTCAAGTTATTTTGTTTTGAATCTTGAATTTTAGAACTGCAATCTCCAATTTCAAGATCACAATGTCAATATTGTGCATGAAAATTTATGATGATGTAGACCGAACATGCGGACTTCAGGACGTTCACTCCATGTGCATGAGTAATGTTTATAACTGTTATTCTAACCGATTCATACATCCAAATAAGTAAACATTTTCCATAATACCCTTATTTTTTATCCAGGAAGTAATTGATTAGATTTATCTGGTTGGTCTGATAAGTAATATTTTTTGATCACATTCATAAGTATTCATATTCTTCAAACTCATCTCTGTGCATTTACTAAGGGGCTGACAAGGAGAATTTGTCCAACAATCTAGAGTTTCTTTTGTTAGTGATCATTTCCTTTATCCTCATGACATTAATATGTGATTCAGGGGTGATATTGTAAGGAGAAATTAGATGCTAGTCACTCTTAGGGGTTAAAGGGTTAAATCAGCTGTTAAATCAGCTGTGAAAGTCTGTGGCCTTAGTGATTATGGTGAGGGATGGATGATGTTTAATTTTTCTTTTCTGTAAAAAATTGCAGACAAACTGGACTCCCCTCCATTTTGTTGTAAATGACAGAGAGGGTGATATGGAACTTGTCAAAATGCTGTTAGAACATGGAGCTGAAACCAACCTGGGTGATTCTGTATGTTAATGATATTTTCTAAGCATTATTGAAACTATAGGTGATTAATGATTTGAAAAAAGGCAAAATGAATATGACAGTGAAGTGAGAAAATTCATCAGGCTTTTTTTCTATTTTGCTCCTCTTAGGTATTAAAAGTATATGTATTTTTTTTTCTTTTTTCTTTTGTTTTCTTCTTCTCACTCTTTTTCTTTTATTGAGTCTTCACTCCATCTTTCCCTCTCTCTCTCTACTCAGTCCTCAACACTCCCTGTAGGTTCTTTTATTTCTGTAAACCATTTTACATCTATCCTCCTCAGGCTGCCTCTTTTTTTCTTGCTGTATTGCCTATAATCATCTTCCTTCCTTCAAACTTTCCTTACTTCGAAGTTTTCTACCATTAGTTTGGCTGATTAGTTCAATCCTTCCTGCCTCCCTTCCTTCTATCCAGCCTCTTTTATCCCTTCCAGCACTACTTTACCATTCCTCACTCCTTTTAAATGTAAACTAACTCTCGAGCTTCACCATGGCACCAAATAAATACGGTTTGGATTTACTAAACTTCTTCCCTTCTGTCGCTCCCATACCCTATCCTGTATCTTTCTCTCCCCTCCCCTGTTTTTTTCCTAATCATTCTGCCTTTAATAGACAATCTATAATCCACTTTTGAATCAGAGCCGTGAAAATTTTGCCCTAAAAGCGCGAGCGTTTGCGTAGAGAACTCGATCACATCCAGAGACTTATATTTACGCGTAATTGTACGGACTTTGGTCATCTCCTCTGACTCTAGTGTATTTCACCGTATATTATTATAATTTTTGTTCGTATAATTTGCGTGAGTCAAGGCTGTGATTATTCCATCTTTTAGGCCAGGCAGAAAAAAATTGTTGGGCAGGCGTGAGCTGGTGCGCGAGATCAGTGTTTTCACTGAGTTCGAAGGCATGCATCATACTTGCTCGTCTCTCTCCACTCTAGCTTCATCATTTCTTCCTCATCGCTTATTACCAACAAATGTATTTTTTCTTTTAATATCTTAGTTTGATTTAACGCCCCTTCACTTGGCAGCTGAGAAAGGATACTCGGAGACTGTGGAGACATTTTTAAACAATCCGCATAGTCCAGCTGACCGCACCAAGACAAGCCATGTATGGATGCTCTAAAAGCATTTCTTAATTCGATAATGATGACATTTATGATGGTAACCAGGGATTTCTTCCAAATTTTTACAAAATAGTTTTACAAAATTCATTGGAAAAAATAAGACCATCTCAGTGCTGCTTAAAATATCTCGCTTTCCGCTTTTAGGAAGCTGGTAGGCATAGATACATTCGTAAAACCCCCCAAAAAATGCAATTTGTGATGATCCTGAAACAGTGTAAATTGCTCCTTTTATGTCAGTACAGCTGTCCGGGTAGGGGCCGGGGCATTATGGGATAAACAAATAAGGGACCAGTCATTTTTTATCGTCAGCAAGGTGGGGGGGGAGGAGAGAAAGGGGCGAACCAAAGAAATTTGACTGCTAACGGGGGAATGTTCAGGTAAATTTTATTGTGCACGCGACACAACCAAAATCGTGTGACCTCCCCGCCGTGATAAATAAAGACGACGGGTCCCTAAGTGTTCGTAAACTGTGGCAGCCATGCAGGTTTGATCTCGTATAAATAAGTACTACTTGAAACCATGCTAAGAAAGCTGGGATAAGCTCTTTCCACACAGATGATATGGATATTTCAATTGCTGACTATGCCTTTTTATCTCTTCCTGATTGGGCCCTCGTTCCTCAAGGGGAAGGAAACAGCACTCGATATTGTTGAGAGGAGATTGAGAGAAGAACGAACTGAAGACGCTTTGCTTATAGAACTCAAAAAAGTTGTAAGTCATTTGCAAAATGACCAAGTTGCTGATCGTCTTTTTGCTGATGGCCCATCCAGCTTAACAATCAATGTGCAAAATGACCAAGTTACTGATCGTCTTTTTGCTGATGGCCCATCCAGCTTAACAATCAATGTGCCACCAGGTTAGTTTCAGTTGAATTATAGGACTCCGTCATCTTATATAAATACCTGAGAACGGGTTTACTTCACTTAACTTGATTGGATCTTTCTTTTCATCAATGACAAACACTCACAAACGACATAGTTAGCACCTTTTTAACGTGGTCCAAGAATGAAGACGCTCACCTTAAGACAAAGAAACCGCCACTGTGATGCCATGCCATGTTTAAGCATTTTATTTATCAATTTTTTTTTGTTTGTTTTTTTGTTATAGCTTCACCCGTAAATTTGAACGTCGAAACAGCGCATCTTCTTGTTGTGGGAGATCATAATACAATACGTAACGATGATAGGAACTAAGTGAGTGGTTATACTTCCAACCAGAGAGAACTTTACTGCTTTAGAAGGCCGTCAACGTTATCTCCACCATTGTATGGCATATATGGCTCTTTGAAACCTAGTATCAATAGTGTTTAAATTTGAAAACGACGCCGACATTTTGCTTCGCAATCTGTTTATCACTAACCTGTAACATACCTTGACTCTGAAGCGTTTAGATTTGAACTAGAGAGCGAGTTACGTGGATTTGAAGAGCCCAAAGTCATACCAAGATAAGTTCTTCCGTTTTACAGTTTACTCTTCCCATTTTCAAATGTTAATGCACGTTTTCAGACATGAGTTGCTTCTATGATTTTATGCTTTGCTGCGTGTGAAACTCAAGGTACATGTTTTTTATAAGTCATTTTTCTCGCCGTTCATCATTTACTCGTTCCATTCTCCCTTGAAGGTCGCAGAATCGAATAGTTATCATTGTCTTAGTTGCTTAAAATATTATTGGGTTTTGAGCTTGATCATTGTTTTAATTGCTCTTCTATAAATTGGCTGAATTTTTCCCAGTTACAAATCGTTTTTATATTATAAATGGATCCTTCATCCTTGTCTTTTGCAGGTGTACTAATGGTAAACTAAATAGCTTCATCCAAAGAATAGAATAGTTTATTTAATGTCGAAGACGTGGGAAGTGTTTGCACAATCTTCCGAGCCAGAGGCTCCTGTTAAAAACGCTCGACAAACTAAAAATACAAAACAAGATAAGTTATGTGAGTTATACATAAAACAAATATTTAAAATATATATATTTATACGAATATTAACTAGCCCAGGAGTATATAAAAATGTAAAAATAGGTCAAATTACTCATAAAATGTTCAGAGAAATGCGCGCGCCGTAATTGGTCTGAACGAGTTCATCATATTTTCATAAAGCACGCGCCTCTCGATAGACGAGTGCACTTTTGAGATATAATACACGCAGCTTGCGTCATCAGTACGAGCGCGCGCAATTCACGAGGCATTTTATAAAAGAAATAAAAAACTTGTTCCTCGAGCATTGCTGAGTTATATAAGCCCTTGGGAAATCTTAAGAACACTCGAGAAGTGCGAGAAGCACTCGCCTTCAGCTCGTGTTTCTCCGCACTTCTCTCGTGTTCTTAAAAATTTCCGCGTGCTTATATAACTCAACAATACACCTGGCGCGTTTTTTATTCTTTAAGACGGTTTAGACATTGGCAATCTGTGAAATTGACATTATTCAGGCGAGCACGAAATTATGCTAAAGTGGTCGTGGATTTGGTTACAGCTGGTTCCACTTGTGGGCAACATTTAAAAATAGAATAAGCGATTGCAGGTTAGTCTTTGCTTAAGCGTGTTCATAGTAGCCATTGCTAAACAAAAGTTATTGGTAGCCGAAGTACATAGATTCAGTAATGTCTTGATCGGATAACGATTGGTACGTTCGATGTTATTTTTCAAGGCTTTAAATATGCCCAGAAGTAGAGGGCAACAGTATCCTAGCTGCAGTAGCACGTAAGCTTTATAAAGAGAAATCATAAAGTCTGAAGTAACTAAGGGCTTAATCCTTCGTAGTGAGGCTATCTTAGCATACACTTTTTTCAGCATGATTGTAGCGTGGGGCTTGAAAGACAAATCCCGATCCAATGTTACGCCAAGAATCTTGAGAGTAGGTTTAATTTCGATGGAAATGTCGCCAATAAAAAGATTGTATGGGTACTAAGATTTCCACGGTGTCATTGCCTGAGTTTTAGTAATGTTTACTTGCAGGTAATTTGCAGTGAACCAGAGGGTTAATCTCTCTATGTCTTGATTCAATGTAGATTCAAGTGTGCAGGGGCTCTCATGGACTATATATTGTGTTGTGTCATCAGCATATAGACGTAGGGAGGAAGATCCAGCTGAGTAATTGATATCATTCACAAACATACTAAAAAAAGCGGACCTAGAAAGCTCCCTTGCGCCTCTCCATTGCGAAAAGGCAGCTGGTCTGACACCTTCCCGTGACATTTTACTCGTTGAAAGCGGCCAGATATGACTAAACAAGCTTTATGGCAGAATCGTGAACGTCGTAAGTTTTCATTTTTGCTAGTAATAAATTATGGCAAATCGTGTCAAACGCTTTGGAGAGGTCAACAACGACCATTACCACGTCCCTTTTTATTGTCAAGAGGCGGGCGCCAATCATCAGTTAGCTTAAATAAAGCGGAACAGCGAGAATGCCCATGCAGGAATCTTGACATATCCGAAAAGACCGGTGTGAATACGCTGTATAATTGATCAAATTTTAGTTTTTCAAACACCTTAGGTATAACTTACAAGACACTAACGGGGTGATAATTCTTCTTGGGTGTTTCGTCGTCATTCTTGTGAGCAGGGGAGACGTTACTAAGTTTCCATTGACGTGGCCTCTCGCTTATTTGTTGGTTAGTGTGACACGCCGCTAGGCGTCTCTGAGGGTTTCACGATTGGGTAGTTTTTAGTATTTAGGACGTTACAGAGCATTATAGCGTCCTCTCGCTCTCGCTTTCCGCTGACGTTCCTTCATTCATTCCCGGTGTAAAACCTCGGTGATATGACTACGCCACAAGATGGTTGCACGTCGTCTGTCTCCGAAGCCGTTTTTTCCAGCCTAAATTCTACGTCTTCTGCCGCCGAAGCAGATTTATCCGGTATAAATTTATCTTCCCCGCAGCCTGAAACCCCGAGTTCTCAGATAGTTAACCAAGTTTTCTCGCTTTTCAACGGATACCTCACTTCCTTATCAGAGGAAAAAGGTAAACAGTTTGAGGAAACCGCAAAAATCGGAAAAGAAGCTTCTGCGATTAAGTTTAAGGGAAATAGAAACAATTCGAGTTGAGTTTGCATTAGCTTTTTCGCGGTAAGATCCCTTACTGTTTTACTTTGTGAAGTCTCGCGTTGGTTGGATTGCCTGAGCAACCAACCATCAAGCTGTTGTGGTTGTGTCTTTCTAGTATTAAAGGGAAAATAATTTACGTTCGTTTGAGCATAGCGAGTTAGAGCATAAATGTATTTTCAGTTGCTATGCAGTTTTCTTATACTTTATAGCTTGTTATTCGTTGGTTATTGTGACACGCCTAGGGTTTCATGATTGGGTAGTTTTTTTGTAGTTAAGGCGTTACAGAGTATTATCGCGTTCTCTCGCTCTCGCTTTCCATTGAAGTTCCTTCATTCCCCGCCAACCGCCCTGAATTCTGTTTTTATGTTTTTCTTGTGTTCATCTGTATGCCGTTCAGAGTATGCTGCAAATCCCGACTACTGCTACTGTTGCAATCGACCAGGACACCGGGCTAAAGAATGTCTAGTTGTGCTAGCCTCTAATTCTATTACAAGTCAAGGGCAGTCTTAGAAGGCGTGTAGAATTCTGGCGAAGTATGGGTGCCCCTAAGTTTATATTATCAGTGTTTAGCGAGCAAGCAATGCCCGCGAATGTCTCTACAAACAATAAATCAGTCTTAAACCACTCATAATTTGTAGTAGAATCAGTTTTGGAGCTCTTACACTTGGGTAAGGTAGTAGAAGTCACTAGTCCCCAGTACGTCATAAGCCCTTTGAGTTTGTCTATTCAGGGTTGCATTACCTTACTTTCGAAAGGGGGCTTACATGATCTGGTTCGACCTCAAGAGTGGCTACCACCATATAGGCATTCACCCGGACCATCAGGTGTTCTTGGGATTTGTATGGAAATTCCCGGGTGCGTTATCATTTAGGTATTTTGTGTTTACCGTCCTAACATTTGGTTTATCCTCTGCCCCCTATATTTTCACTAAATGTCTCAAACCATTGAAGAAATACTGGGGGGTTAATGGGGCCAATATTGTTTTACTTGTTGATGATGGTTGGCTTGTCGAAATTGATCGAAACTAAAGTTTTGGATGGAGAGTTTGACACGATTAAACTTGAAGTCAGTAGTGGATTGTCTGTCTAAAACATCTAATTACGTAGTTTATTCCGATGCTGGCGCCGCAAGGTGTGGTGCCCACTTAGATGTCAACGGTGAACAAGTATGTCATATGTTATGTGATGCAGATGATTGTGGTAAAAGTTCCACGTGGAGGGAGCTGTCAGCTATTTCTTTCGCCCTGCAGTAGTTTTTGCCTCTCCTTAAAGGTTCTTACGTGGAGTGGATTTCTAATAATCAGAATGCTTATAAAATTATACAAGTGGGAAGCACGAGGAGCGATTTGCACCTAATTGCCGTGGAGATTTTTTAGTTTTGTGTCCATTATAACATTGCGTTGGAAGTCAAATGGATTCCTCGTTCTAAAATTGACAGAGCGGATTATATTAGTCGCATTATTGATGTAGACGATTGGCAAATTTCAGCCGCTTGCTTCGAGTCTCTAGATACCCGCTGGGGGGTTCACATCGTAGATTGCTTTGCTAGTTTTAATAATACGAAGATCAGAAAACTTGTCCCTAGATTCTGGAATCCAGGCTGCAGAGGGGTGGATTTTTTTCGTTCAAAATCTGGTTGGCGAAAATTGCCTTGTTGTTTCCACTGTAAGCTTAATTTCAAGAGCGATTCACAATCTTTTTGTTACCAAGGCGACAGCCACTATTGTTGTACCCTTCTGGCCATCATCATTTTTTTGGCCAATTATCTTCAAGAAATTTGCCAGTTCCACAGAGGATTATAAGAGGTTCAACACTAAGGTTGCATTAGATCATGGACGGAACACCAACTAGTTTTTGGGTAGTGGCATATGCACTAGACAAGGCTGTTGGTATGAAATTCTCTTCTCCCTCTCGTGCTTTTAGGTAATTTCATCAGTACTGCTTAGCTGATTATTTACTTATTGAGCAGGGAAAAGAGACATGAGACGCTCGTCTTTGAGTGCATATGTTGTGGTTTAATTTTATTCTTGGTTCAAATTTTCTTTTCTTTTGTTTTTGGGTATTGTAATGTATGATAATAAGTTTGAAACTAAGGAAAATGAAATTTGAACCAAGGATAAAATTAAACCATAACATATACAACGAAAGGAAGCGCTGGCCTGAGTTGAAGGTGGAACGGTTTTTGTAGGCACTGTCGCTTTCTGACAGCCTTTATGACAGTCAATTTGAAACGAGAACAGGAGGTTTAACGCGCATGTCATCTATTACCATAGCGCTTTTCTCGATGCAGATGTTTGATGTGGATTGCCATTAGAATGTCTGAGAAGACCTCTTTAAGCGTTTACAAATTAGTAGTCAGAGAGGCTTATAGAAGCCCTCATTAACGGCATCATTCCTAACGACCACAGTGGCTTACAGTAATTTAGTTCTGATCGTATGTTATCACAAATCAATGCGTGTATTGAGTTTTTCCATTTTATTTGTGTCGAGCTTTCATTACTGCGAATGCGTAGTCTCCTTTGAGGAGTTTCAAGTTTCAAGGGCAAGGAAATGAAATTGTGCAGTTCCAAATATTCAAAATAAAAACAGGAAGTGCGTGACTGGCTCCTCACATTCACCTCGCGCTTATCGCTGCTCGACAAAAAAGTCACGACAGTCCTGCAGGAAGTTGCAACTACATTGTAACAAGTAGTGTTTCGCTGAACTGAAAATTTAGGAGGGGTGTTCGGCAATCGGGAATTGAAGCATTTTCACGATTTTCTGTTATTTAAAGAAAGGATAATTATTGTAAGCTGAATTGCTTCATTTTCTTGTAGCTGTTTCTTATTAAATGTAAATAATTTCGAGATAATACGGTTTCAGGAGTTGCTAAACAGGAAAAATAGGCAATTAATCGATGTCAGACAAAGAATTTGCAAGTTATTCGGCATCTGCGTGTTGCAAATTAACGGAAAAATTTTATTCAATAGATCTTTTTTGAGTTTGATGTTTTTTTTTTTTTTTTTTTTTTTCACGACCATGTGACCAATTGTTGACACAGTCTCTCGACCACGCGCTGAACGAAAATATATCCTCTCTCTTTTGAGTAGCTGTTGTGACGGGTTTACTGAAAATTTTCGCGGTTTTCCTCTCAAAATGGCAACGAGAACGGAAGAAGGAGATTCCAAAGATATGTTTCGCAAAGGAAAAGAGCTTTGGAAGGCTCTGCGAAATAATCCTATCGACAAAGAAAGAGTTAACGAGCTCCTCAGCAACGGGGCGCCTCCGAACTTCCGAGATCCCGATAAAACGGAGGTACACTGCACATATTGTAAAGATTCTTAATAGTATCTATTGTTCAGTATTTTAGATTTTTACGTTTTAAGTTGTATGTAACAAAAACCTCTACTCCTCTGTTAAAACCGCGACTAAAGTGGCTATTTTATGGCGACTGGTCGACATTCAGTTGTCAGACATGATTGTTTCAAGACAAAATCCATCTGAGTCTTCAAAATCATTTTGATTCTACTGTACAATTTGTTCCGCTGCTTTTCAACCTTACAAAAATTCAGACATTACCAAAGCTTGACATATGAGAAGATGAGACATGTCGATTTGACATTTGATTTGATTTCTTTCGCTGTAAACACACTCCTAATTTTAGTCAACGGACTTTGTAGTTGTGAGTTTGTTATGAGCAATTTCGCATCGTTCATCAACCCCTTAATTAGTTGAAAAACCAGTATTACACTAAAAATAACACAGTGCAAATTCTCATACATACGTTAGAGACGTTTAGTTTGGCTTTTTACTTTGTATTTTGCTAGGTTTTGAATTCAGAAGAAAATCTGACTTGCAAATTGTTACATCATACGTAAATATATTTATTTTCGACTTTGAAGTCGTCGAGCTCACATTTCAGTTTCTGGAAAAATTCCCGTATTTTAATTTTCAATTTTACGATGGCCAGTTGCTATTGTAAGCTTACTTGCGTAGTTCAATCTCTATAGTTATTCGAATTACATCTAGTTTGGGGTTAAAAAAAGAAAAAAAAGTATCAGGATCTAAAATAACATTATCTATTTCATGGTCGATTTCAGTCATTCGTTTTAAGCGACGTGAATTGCAACTGTTTACCGTTTCTCCAAACACTTCTCTGATCAAAACAAGCTCCAGTTTGATTTCCGGCTCGTCAATTGCCGATATTTTTTCAAGTTATTTTGTCTTAGCTCAGCTTTACATCTTGAACTTTAGAACTGCACCCTCGAATTTCAAGATTACTATGTCAATATTGTGCATGGAAATTTATGATGATATAGACCGAACATGCAGACTTTAGGACCTTCTCTCCACGTGGAAGAGTATAGTTTATGCCTGTAATTCTAACCGATATATATATATATAAATTTATGAATGTGGGGCTAGAGTCTACCTTGGCTTAAAGTGCTCAATGCTGTGGTAGCAGAACTGAGTATACATAGGTTAAAGAATTAAAGAGGACGCATCGATTCTCTGCATTAGCTCTATAGAATCATTATTTCACACGCAGATTGGATCATCACACGAGTGAATTAATTAGCTACTTATCTAATTTGTATATAATGTTCTTCATTGAATAAATTTCTGTCTGACGAGCGCTAAGGCGCGTAACTCAGAGTCACGGAGAATCGATGCGTCCTCTTAAAGTCTTTAACTTATGTATATATATATATATATATATATATATATATATATCCAAATGAGTAAATATTTTTCATAATACTCATATTTTTTTATCTTGGAAGTACTTGATTATACTTATCTGGTTGGTCTGATAAGGAATTAAGAGGCTGTCTCTCTTATTTCCACCCGGTCAATTTTGCGTCGAAAATAATTTTGCCTGAAACTCTGTTAACAGAAAGACTTTACCTAGGAAAGAACTAAATTAGATTTGGTTTGATTCGAAATAATTTTCTGACTGCATTAGGGGCCATAATTATTTCCCAGTACGTAGGGCCGTAGCAACGTCCCGAAAATTGAAAAATAGGCATATTTTGTAACATTGTAAAATATTTGATTCGCATAGTTAAGCCACAGAATTTATATCAGATTTCTTATAAACCTTTCTAGTTTGCCAAGAAAGTTAGAATTTGCCCTCTCAACATATTTGAAAAGGCGAATTTTAGCATATTCTGACCACTAGAAATCGCCATCGGCCGATGGCCGCAAATAACCTTGATTTAGACGCTAAGTTTTGGGATTTGGGACCTGGTTGACGATTCTATCCTACACAGCCGTTAAGTTTAGACCTTTATAGGCAAAACTATGCAAAAACCCCTGTACGTTTTCGATTTTTCAAAAGTTATGACCGTTTGAATCAGCACATGTACGAGCATTCGTGATTTTTTCGCCTACACCAAAATCGAACCACTGGAGCAGATTTTGTCATAAATACAGCTTACCCGCTTTGCAGCCCGGCTTCATGGCTGACTTCAGAATTTTTCTAATAACCAAATTGGTGAAATCCATGATAACTTCAACAAATAGCTAGGTATTGCCTTCGAAAAGTAGGCGGCTTCCATCGTGATTCGTGGTATCAAAACAAATGTCGGAATTGGCCACATTTCGCGGTGAATCACCCATTTAACATTGCTGCAGAGCTGAATTTTTTCCAAAATCAGAATATAAACTCTCCATGTCTGAAGTGAAGAAATAATCGCTTAAATTTAGATCCAGTTCGATGTTATACTGTTCTCAGAAAGGTCCGCACAAAAGAGAAGACCGCTGATAGCTTGTGCCGTACGTTGTGCCATATGGTTTTGTTTTGTTTCCCAATGTAATATTTGGGCAGAAAAATTTTGGATGAAAAGAATAAATGCTTTTACCTGGAGTTTGATATCATATAATTAATAAATCAATTTCAAATATCCTGAGCTTGCTTCTCTCGGTTCCGCGTCGATTGTGTCCACAGAACAGCAACCTGTCGATAGCCGGAGAAATCGGCTACCAACGTGTTACACATGCTTCGTATGAACAGATGTTATAAGTGTTGCTTTTGGTAAATTTTCAATCGATTTCATCAAAACATTTTACTGACTACTAGATATTATAATATATTACACTATGACAACGCCGTCAGAACTTGATATCGGAAGTAAAGGTAGTTTGTATCTGTAGAGCATATTCTACATTTTCAGCCACCGTATAAGACATAAGTCTACTGAGAAACACACTGACAATCACTAATCACGTCCGACAGTTTGTCTATGAGAATCTGTTTTTTGTCTCTCAATTTTACAGGATCTCAAAATGACTACAGATGGCTCTCAACAAAACGACATTGAATTTCTGAAGTGTGTTATTGTGGTAACGTTCACAGAGGTCCTACGTATCGTAGCAGATTGGATGTGAGAATTTGATCTCTTTTTTAACTTTGTCTACCAGATCTTGTCTCTCGGAATTTTCCTGGACGCATTGGATATCTTCCTCCTCATCCAGTGATATCCCGATCACACCCTGATCTTTTCGCCGCATTGCTGCTAGCCGGGAGAAAAAGCTCTGAACTTGGCTCTTTGTCAGCCACTATTCTCTAGTGAACAAACGTGCATTTGATTCATTTTTCGCATTTCGCATGTCCACTGCAACTTGGGCGGGGTCTGCCTTTCGCCCAGTTCTTTCTCCAAGTGTAAACCGTGCCGTTAGGTATTCTTTTACCTTCTCTGAAAATCTAACGCTGCCTCTTGGTTTGCTTACGGCCCATCTCGTTCGTAGAGGCGAGTGGGGCGAAGTATCCACGGGAGAAGTGAGTGGTGTACTAGAATCTAACGAACAGCTCGAACACTCGATACCAGCGGTATCTATCGACGAGAACTTAAGGGCCCAGTCCCTTTTGATTGCATCATACTGGCTTAACCTGCTGACTGTATGCTTTCCAACGTCCAGGTGCAGCTCCAGCTGCGAAAAGGTTTCGAAAACTTCAACACATCCAAACACAGAGCATTCAAACAATGGCGTTGTACTCTCTGTTTCCTTGCTGCCCTTTGGACGACGCTTGACCACACGCTTTTCAGGAGGATCATAAAACCCTTGAGATTCTATGGTTTGAAGGAACGTTTGACCTTGGGTGCTTGATATAAATTACGTCATATGGAATGTACTTCCCTTTCCGATGCCATAACATTTCCAAACTCTCAGACCGATATCTCCATATTCAAAGTTGTGGAAGCTACTAAAATGCTCCGAATCTTATTTATACAGAGAGTGTTCTTTAATTCGTCTACTATGCTTACTGCAGCTGTTGTTCTCTTCACTGGGTGTTTCGTCAATGCGTATCCTCTGTCCAATGAAAGCTTTAACAACTTCGCTGAAGACTCGCTACAGACTGAAGCCTCTCTGGTTTAGAAAAAGCTCTTGCATGCTATTCTACACTTGCAGGCCTTCCAAAAATAATAAATGGTCAGCGGGTTCACCCGCAATTATTAATGCGGACCTCTGTTATGCGCGATAGTGCAATCGTTCAGCTTTAAATTCCAAAACGCCAAACTTCGACACATAGACTTACAAGTGGAGTTCTATGACTGATTCTGGAAGAGAATGCAGCTGCAATCCAAAGTTTCAACGGGACATTGAGCGCGAAACATGGCCTTAGTTTTCGAGTTTAGTTCGCAACAACGATTCAAAGATTCAAAGTATGAATTTTGGAGGTATTTGCTGGAGTTATCATAAAGTTCACCGGTTTGGGAAGCGAGGAATATCTGAAATTTCACATAAACCTATGATTTCTCCGGCTATTGACAGGTTGCTGTTCTGTGGACACAATCGACGCGGAACCGAGAGAAGCAAGCTCAGGATATTTGAAATTGATTTATTAATTATCACGGATTTCACCAATTTGGTTATTAGAAAAATTCTGAAGTCAGCCATGAAGCCGGGCTGCAAAGCGGGTAAGCTGTATTTATGACAAAATCTGCTCCAGTGGTTCGATTTTGGTGCAGGCGAAAAAATCGCGAATGCTCGTACATGTGCTGATTCAAACGGTCATAACTTTTGAAAAATCGAAAACGTACAGGGGTTTTTGCATAGTTTTGCCTATAAAGGTCTAAACTTAACGGCTGTGTAGGATAGAATCGTCAACCAGGTCCCAAATCCCAAAACTTAGCGTCTAAATCAAGGTTATTTACGGCCATCGGCCGATGGCGATTTCTAGTGGTCAGAATATGCTAAAATTCGCCTTTTCAAATATGTTGAGAGGGCAAATTCTAACTTTCTTGGCAAACTAGAAAGGTTTATAAGCAATCTGATATAAATTCTGTGGCTTAACTATGCGAATCAAATATTTTACAATGTTACAAAATATGCCTATTTTTCAATTTTCGAGACGTTGCTACGGCCCTTACGGACTGGGAAATAATTATGGCCCCTAATGCAGTCAGAAAATTATTTCGAATCAAACCAGATCTAATTTAGTTCTTTCCTAGGTAAAGTCTTTCTGTTAACAGAGTTTCAGGCAAAATTATTTTTGACGTAAAATTGACCGGTGGAAATAAGGGAGACAGCCTCTTAAAATATTTTTTAATTACATTAGTATTAATTAGTATTTATATTCTCTATATTCTCCATACATACATGTAGAGAATCGATGCGTCCTCTTCAATTCTTAAACTTATTATAGCGCTTTATGCCAGAGTAGACTCTACCCCCACATTCATCTATATATATATATATATATATGTATGTATGTATGTATATATATATACCGATTAGAATTAGAGGCATAAACTATACTCATGCACGTGGAGAGAAGGTCCTAGACAAGGAGAATATAGTCCATAGACAAGGAGAATTTGTCTAACAATCAAGAGTTTCTTTTGTTGGTGATCATTTCCTCTATTATCATGACATTAATGTGTGATTCAGGGGTGATATTGTAAGGAGAAAATAGATGCTAGTCACTCTTAGGGGTTAAAGGGTTAAATTATCTGTAAAAGTTTGTGGCCTTAGTGATTATGGTGAGGGAAGGATAATGTTCAATTTTTCTTTTCTGTAAAACTTTGCAGACAAACTGGAGTCCCCTTCATCTTGTTGTAAGTGAAAGTAAGCGTGAGCTTGTCAACATGGTGTTAGAACGTGTACTGATATAATTTTGTAAAACATTGCAGACAAAATGGACTCCTCTTCATCTTGTTGTAACTGAAAGAGAGGGTGATATGGAGCTCGTCAACATGCTGTTAGAACATGGAGCTAAAACCAACCTGGGTGATTCTGTATGTTAATGATATTTTCTATGCATTATTTTCGAAGCATTATCAGTCCTCGACACTCCTTCTAAGTTCTATCATTTCTGTAAGTCATTTTTCATCTATCCTTCTCAGGCTGCATCTTATTTCCTGTTGTATTGCCCATAATTGTCTTCTTTCCTTCAAATATTCCTTACTTCATAGTAATCCACCATAAGTTTGCCTAATTACTTCAATCCTTCCTTCCCCACTTCCTTCTATTCAGCCCCGTTCATCCCCCCAGCACTACTTGACCATCTCTCACTCCATTGAAATGTAAACTCACCCTGAGCTTCACCATGGCACCAAATACCACAGTTTGGGTTTTACTAAACTTCTTCCCTTCTATCGTTCCCATACCCTATATTTTATCTTTCTTCCCTCTCCCTTGCATTTTACCTAATCATTCTGCCTTTAATAGACAATTTATAATCCACTTTTGAATTAGAGGCGTGAAAAATTCTGTCCTCAAAGCGCGAGCGTTTGCGTAGAGAACTCGATCACATCCAGAGACATGTATTTACGGGCAATTGCACGGACTTCGGTCCTCTGACTCTAGTCTATTTCACTGTACATTATTATAATTTTTGTTCGTATAGCTTGTGTCAGTCAAGGCTGTGATAGGCCAGGCGTAAAAAATTGTTGGACAGGCGTGAGCTGGCGCGTGAGATCGGTGTTTTCACTAAGTTCGAAGGCATATACTTGAGTTGGCAGATGTACATGCATCATACTTGCTTGTCTCTCTCCTGTCTAGCTTCATCATATCTTCTTCGTCGCTTATCCTATGTTACCTCATACCAACAAATGTATTTTTCTCTTAACATCTTAGTTTGGTTTTACGCCCCTTCACTTGGCAGTTGAAAAAGGATACTCGGAGGCTGTGGAGAGATTTTTAAACAATCCGCATAGTCCAGCTGACTGCAACAAGACAAGCCATGTAAGGATACTGTAAAGCGTTAGCTTAATGCGTATTTTGATAACATTTATGGGGGTGACCAGGGATTTCTTCCAAAGTTTTACAAAATCCATAGTTTTACACAATTCAATGGAAAAAATCAGACCAACTCAGTGCTGCCTAAAATATATTGCTTTTTGCTCGTAGGAAGCTAAAACCCCAAAAATGTAATTTGTGATAATCCTGAATGAGTGTAACTTGCTTCTTTTATACCGGCACAGGGGCATTATGGGATAAACAAATAAGGGATCAGACATTTTTTTTATCGCCAGCAAGGGAGAGGGGGGGAGGGAGAACCGAAGAAAATTGACTGCCAACCGGGTAAGGGGGAGACTGGGGGTTCAGGTAAATGTTATTACGCACACGACACAACCAAAATCGGGTGACTTCCCCGCGGTGATAAATAAAGACGACGGGTTCCTTAGTGTTCGTAAACTGTGGCAGCCATGCAGGTTTCCATCTCGTATAAATAAGTACTAGCAGACTTTTTGTGAAACCATGCTAAGAAAGCTGGGATAAGCTCATTCCCCTGGACGATTTAGATGTTTCAATTTCTGACCATGCCTTTTTGTCTCTTCCTGATTGGGTCCTCGTTCCTCAAGGGGAAGGAAACAGCACTCGATATTGTTGAGAGGAGATTGAGAGAAGAACGACCTGAAGACGCTGGCGCAATGCTTACGAAAAGTGAAACCTCTAAGATAAGAGAACTCAGCAAAGTTGCAAGTTATTTGAAAAATGACCAAGTTGCTGATCAACTTTTTGTTGATGGCCCATCCAGCTTAACAATCAATGTGCCACCAGGTTAGTTTCAGTTGAATTATGGGACTCCGTCATCTTATTTGAATACTTGAGAACGGGTTTACTTCACTTAACTTGATTGGATCTTTCTTTTTATCAATAAAAAACACTCACAAACGACATAGTTAGCACCTTTTAACGTGGTCCAAGAATGAAGACGCTCACCTTAAGACAAAGAAACCGCCACTATGATGCCATGCACTGTTTAAGCATTCTATTTATTGGTTAATGTTATTTTCTTATTATTTTTTATAGCTTCAACCGTACATGTGGACGTCAAAGAAGCACAGACTGTTGTTGTGGGAGATCATAATTCAATATCTAACAACAATAGGAACTAAGTGAGTTACACTACTAACTAGAGAGAACTTTTCCTGCTTTAGAAGGCCGTCAACGTTTATCTCCATCCATTGAATGACATATGGCTATTTGAAAACTAGTATCAATTGTGTTTAGATTCGAAAGCGGCGCCCACATTTTTAATTTTGCTCAGCAACCTGTTTATTACTAAGCTGTAACATACCTCAACTCGGAACACTCGTAGCGTTTCGATTTGAACTAGGCTTAGGTTGCTTTGAAGAGCTCAAAGTCATAACATGATGAGTTCTTCCGCTTTACAGTTTACTTTTCCCGTTTTTAAATGCTAATACGCGTTTTCATACGCGAGTTTTGCAGATATTTTGCTTCTATGATATATTTGGTACTTTGCTATGTGTGAAACTCTAGGTACATATTATTTATGAATCATTTTCCTCGCCGTTTATCATTTACTCCCTCCGCTCTCCCTTGAAGGCCGTAGGATCGGATAGTATTCATTATCCTAGTTGCCTAAAAAATATCATTGAGTTTTGGGCTTGATCAATTTTTATAATTACTCTTCAGTAAATTGGCTGAATTTCTCTCAATTACAAATTATTTTATGCTATAAATGGATCCTTCATCCTTGTGTCTTGCAGGTGCACTAATAGTTTAAAAAATAGCTTCAACCAACATTACTTTCTAAACTGTTCGTAAATGTTTCAATTTAATTTTTTTTTCCCACTAAAGATTTCAATTTGTTTGTACATTACACAGGAAAATCTTTGGAAAGGATCCACACTATAATTTTGCTAAAGGGGAGCTTGATGTAAAAATGCAATTGCAGTCAACTTCAGTGGACTCCAAACATTTTGTTAAACCAACAATTAATCAAGTGGAAAGGTTTAGAAACAAGCATAGACCATTCGCTGTCAAGGTTAACTTATGGTTTCACTGAAGTCAAAGATTGTGAATGCCAAGATATGATTAATATTACTTGTGATGTCTCCAGACTGATAATTCTTATAGAAAACGACTCACTGTGAAGCTGCCTTTGAAGAAATTTGTTCTCATTTCCTTCCATATGATTGATAAAGCAACATAGTTTTATTTATCATATAAACTACGGTGTTGTAATAAGATAAGCCCTGAGAAAAGCCGTAACAACACACATAAAAAAATTCTCACCATCTGTTCTCATTCTCATCATCTGTTGGTAGGTTTCAGTATCTTTAACTGGTAAATTCTTCACTAAAATTTTCAATGCCACCGAATTGCTGACCTCAGCGCGCACCATATTTGTTTATAATTACGCGATATTATTGCTTGATTTTTTCAACTACCACGAAACCGTTTGAGCGCAAACATGATAGTCAATGATAGTGAATGAAAGTTGAAATTATCATCAACTATCGTGACCGTTTGAATGCGGCTTAAACGCTAACCCACTTTACCTTTTCTTATACGGATTCGTCCAAAGTTTTATATTTAGTCGTTAATAAAGTCGACTTTTCTCGTTAATAAATATATGTTATTTGCCGGCTGGGAGGTCCGTGAAAAACTTATTAGAAACTATTATTCACTCTCATCGACGATTAATTCATGTACGAAGATTTACCTCTGTTCATTAAGTAATCGGCGAGGAAAGTAATTGTAAGTAAATTCAAATATTTTGTTTCGAAGTTGTGAGAGTTTTCTCGTTTGTTTGCTGCCATGGCGTGTGAAAATCTGGTCTTTCCTACTGACAAAAACTAAATTAGGATGATACACCCCAACGAGACAGAAGGGGATTTAATGTAGCCTTTTCTCGTTGAATCCCTAAGTTTAAGTACAATTTACGGTACAAATGTCCAAATTGAACGGACTTGAAAAGATTCACCGAGAGCGTATATTTGTTGTAGAACTGAAATTAAAACTTCGCTCGCCATTTCACTACGAACAAATTGTTTGAGAAAATTCAGAAATTAAATGAATGAAAGTTCCATCGATTAGTTCAACTGTAGCCAAATATCTCACGTTTTAACTCTCTAGGTACTTTTTGTGAGCGATTAATTGCAGACGGCTTTTAGGCCACCTGTCAACCAATGTAATGACACTATTGCTTGTACAAAAAAGTCATTCTGAAACAAAAATTTTTTTGTCAACCAAAGTGACTTGAGAGAGAGAAAAGAGAGGATTAATAAGTTATTTATCGGCTTGAGGTAGTGACCGACGACTTTGCTTAAAAATACTGCCCAGCCGGTAAAAGGAGATATATTTATGAAAAAATGGTAACGAATGAAGGGATGTACTCGGCGACTCACGAAAGCGTCACCGTTGCCCGTGGGCAAAGAGAGGAAAATACTGACCGAGTAAAGAACCAATCAGATTAGCGGATTCGTTACCGTGTCCTCTGAAAAAAAAAATATAGTGCTATTATGTTTATATGATAAACAAAAGTAATACATGGTTGCTTGTAGATATGGATTTTCTATGCTCGTGTTCACCTTGACATCTCACTCGTTCGCTGCGCTCACTCGTAAGCTATCGAGTAAAACACTCGAAGAGAAATTTCATATTTATGTATATATTAACGCGCGCTCATGTATTATTCTTCATTTAAAGAGAGTTTAAAAGTTGAAGAGTCAGTGAATCTTATTTATCGTTTGGTATTAAAATATGATGAATGGTCTTGTCGTAGGATTTGATCACCCACGAACTTATTGTAAAAGATCGCAAAACCACTCCAACATGATTAACAGTATCCCCTTAAAACACTCCGCAGTGGCATTCAACAGCTGCAATGAAAAATTTAGTATGTACGTGTAGATTAATGGTTCATCCAGGGTCCTAGAAGCTATAGGTATCTTTAAGAGCGTTGAAATAACTTATAATTTCAGATGCCTGTAAATGAGCGACATTTGACACTTAATTTTGCATTGGTAATAGTTATAGTGAGTGTCATGCCACCTCCTGAGAGACGCAAACGATCTACGACGGTAATATTTATGTTTCTTTATTACGATTTTAATGAAAAGACGATGCTAGTGTCACCGCTAATATCTCACTAATCCATCAATTATCAAAATTCGGCTGAGATAGAGTGTGTATATGAAAGGGAAGTGTATCAAATAAGTCTTGAGGATTAGTACATTCAGTTCTTTTTTGTTATCGAAATATTTTTGAGGTAGGAGACCTCTATTCTTAAAAGTGATATATGCAAACTGATTCTTCCCTTTCTATTTATTTCAATGGCTAGTTTGAATAATCAATCAGCTTTCTCTCACGTCTTTAACTTATTTATTATTGAGTCTGCTTTTTGTTCTGTGTTGATTGTATTCGCGAGAATTTCGTTATCGATAACAGAGTCATTGTGAAACAATAATAGAAAACATTCATTATTTAGTTGATTTGGTATAAATGTGCTCATGTTTGTATTTCAATTTCATCCAGGAACACCTGTCATTTTTGTTTTCAACTGTTTCTAATTTATTATATTTTTTCATATTTTACCCTCATTTATACCTCCACATTTACGCTATCCTTGTCTTCATAAGAGTTTTACTTCGTTTGAGCAAATATACTCTCTACTCGACGCGAATTCGCAATTCAGTATCGGGCAGGAAACTGAATACAATAAGGCTATTAATTTCTGTTATTTTGCAAGATTGCAATGATTAATTTTCGTGTCGAAGTAATACTGGTTCAACACGATGTTGGCGCTTTTAATAATCGACTCAACATAGACTTAGACATAGACATGGATTTTGTCGACCGGTCGCCATAAAATAGCCACTTTAGTCTCGTTTTCAGCAGATGAGTAGAGGCTTTTGTTCCATACAACTTAAGAAGTAGAGATCGACAATACTAAGCAAGAGATACTATTAAAAATCTTTACAATATGTGCAGTACCCGCGTTTCATCGGAATCTCGGAAGTTCGGAGGCGCTCCGTTGTTAAGGAGGTCATCAACTTTTTGTTTATCGGTAAGATTGTTTCGCTGAGCCTTCCGAAGCTCTTTCCCTATTTTTGGAGTCTCGTTCCGTTCTCGTCGCCATTTTGGGAGGAAAACCGCAAAATTTGTAGTAAAACTGTCACAGCAGCTACTCAAAAGAGAGAGGACCTATTTTCGTACAGCACATGGTCAAGAGATTGTGACAACAATAGGTTACATGGTCGTGAAAAAAAGAAAACTACATCAAACTCAAAATAGATCTGCCCATCGAATTTTTGAATAAATTTTTTCTGTCAATTTGCAACACACCGATACAGAATAACTTTCTAATTCTTTGCTTGACATCGATTAATTGCATATTTTTCCTGTTTAGCAAATCCAGAAACCGAAGTAGCTCGAAATTCTTTACATTCAGTAATAAACAGCCAAAAGAAAATGGAGCAATTTGGCTTGCAATAATTCTCCTTTCTCTAAATAACGGAAAATCGTGAAAATGTTTTAATTCTCGACTGCCCAATACCACTTTTTTTTTTTTTTTTCTAACGTTTAGTTCACTGCGGTAAAGTAACAGCCTTGATTACACAAGGGCTTGCCATACAAATAGTCATAGGCAAAATTTCGTTTCCTGTTCAACCAATCAGATTATTTGAACCATTCTAACACGTATTCTGATTGGCTTATTGTAGCGTGTTCATCAGAGTATAGAGCACGCTGACCGCCACTGTTGCTCGCTTTGAAAATAGATTTTGTTTTGAAAATTGAAAGGGACGCGTTGGGAATTTAGTGGATTCCTTACCACAGAACAAATAAAGAAGCCTTGACTGTGCTCTGATCTGTTGTAAAGCACCTAGGAAGCGATTAAAGCACTCAAGAAGTGGGGAGAATCTACACTTCTTTCGTACTCTGGCTGCTTTCTGCGTTTGACAAACGACTGCTTAATACGGAGTAACCACTTAATACGGTGCCGCTTAATGCAGATTTCACTTGGATAGAAAATGAATTTCTCTGCCTTTCCTTTTGAGAATCCTCCTTTAGGTCACCGTTTTCTTAACTGTAAAGTATAACCTTTAGCATTACGTGCTATTAGCGCAACTGGAACAAAATGTAAGAG